GTCATCCTTTACAAAACATATGAAGGCATACTTTCATAAATTAATATGTTATAAACGAAGAATAACAAAGTTAAATATTTAATTTGTGTATCAAATAAGTTAATATATGTGATAAGATGACAAATCAAATTGTATTGTGATGGCGATTTTCTTCGTCTTCGCCACGTCTCCCTCGCTATCGTCGCTGCAATTTTTACAATGTTAACAGATTTTTCAATTTTTTTCTTGCTGACAATTCTTATATATAAGGTTGGATATTCAATTTCATATCGATAAAATCAGTGATTTGGTCGTCCACAACGCAGAGAACTCAGGTTGTATTGCGTATATTTTGGTAAGATTAACGTGAAAAGCTGATTAGCCATTGTCGCCTTTGACGTCACAGGGTCGTGTGATCGCTATCTAATTAACTTAGATTTTTTAATTCAGGGGTTTTCATTTGAGTTAATAATTGGTTAATTACCGCGGTTTATCCACAATAAAAACACAAAAATTATAAACTGTGGACATAAGGAACGTTTCACGCTTTTAATTTTAAATAATTTAGAAACATGCCATAAGTACAAGTAGGCATTAGCAAACTGTCGAATTGTTTGTAATTTTTCAATGTCTCTTCCTAAAAGTGATTAAACTTCAACATGTTAAACTGTCCGACTTTTGTTTAGTTTGATATAAGTCGTATGTACATGTGTGCATTTTCTTATGTAGATTTTTCAATCTTTTTACGTCAGATCCTCCATGAGTTGGATGGGAGCAGGTAAAACAGGGGTCAAGTTTTACAATGGATATAAAATAAAATATTATTTCTCAAGAACAAGAGCCCCAAGTACGTATAACTAGTCAGCATCAATATTTTGGCCAGACGTTAGGCCAACAAAGCTCATATTGTTGGCCCAATGATGAATGTCAATGTTGGTCCAATATCTAAAAGCAAAATGGGCCTTTGTTGGGTCAATATATTGGCAATGTATTGACCCAACATTGCATTGGGGTTGCATGGACGTTGGCCCAATATCGGACATACATTAGACTTAAGGTAGTTATACGTTTGCCAACTAGTGGAAACAGGTTGGACAAATAATATTATACTAAATATGAACCTCAAAAAGATACGTTGGGCCAACGTAATTCCAACTGGATAAAAGAATGTTCAAATTATTATACCCGCATTTTCTAAAGAGAGTTCGATTATATTTTGTTGTTATCCTGGTCCGTCCGTCCGTCTGTCTCATATACTTCTTCCTTAAACTCTTTTATTTTAAGCAGTAACCATGATGATTTGTGGTGTCCTGTGGATGTGCAATTACTTTTTCAGATTTTGATTTTCACCCTACAAAAATAAACTGGTTCTCAGAACTCCTCTTACATTTTAATCAGTAGCCAAATTATCTTTTAGAAGATGTTTGCTTGCTGATGTCCTGTAGATGTGCAATAAGGTTTTGCAATTTTCATTTCACCCTGGGGGTCAAATGGGGTTCAAAAATGATGTTTTTCTACAAAAAAACCCCCTGATTCTGAGAACTCCTCTGACATTTTAAGCAATATTCAGTTAATAATAATTAACCAAAAGTCTCTGAGGAGACCGTAGTGATATCAATATTCTGTGTGATTACAATGTATATATATATATAGATACATATATGTAGAAATAGGGAAATACTGTATATGTATTTCAAAAAGCGGGCTTCATATTTTAGCGGCTTTGGCGCAGAAAACAATGCTCTAATTCATGAATACCGCTAAGAAATCAATTATAAATACAATATACAGCACGAACATGTATAGCGCTAATTCATGATTTCGCCAACAACTCCATACCCATTGTTTTTGTTTAATTTGGAATACGCCAATTTATGTTCACGTAAAGTGTAACAAACTTTTCAAACTTATTTTTTTTCTTCGTTTACTTAAAGTTTTGGGTTTGATATGTAAAATTAATTGGCGAAATATGAAATTCATTACACAATTTTTGTTAATTTTTTTTTTTTTTTTTTTTTTTTTTTTTTTTTTTTTAAATACAGTTTTACAAGAGATCAGCAACCACGACAACACATTTTCTTTAAAATAAAATACCGATATATAAGATAATCTTATCTTAATATAATCTTCTTGAACACCAAGACTTAAAAAAATCAGACAAAATCTGTTTGATGAGTAGCATTTTGAATGAATTTAAAAGAAATTTCTATTTTTAGCAACTATAGGATTAGTCTTTGTCAAAATTAAGAACTGTTGTTAAGAATTGTCTATCGTAGTATATTCTACTTTTACCAGTGTGCTTGAATATATGAAACTGATGTGGAATCATTGTGAGGTAATGTACATTCAAATTTGTTTATATCATGACCCCGGGGTAGGATGGGGCCACAATGAGTGATCAAAGTTTTACATAGGAATACATAGGAAAAATCTTTTAAGAATCTTCTTCTCAAGAACAGCACACCCATTGTTGGTCATATTTATATGGAAACATCCTCAGATAGTGTAGATTCAAGATTGCTCAAATCATGACCCCCGGGGGTAGGGATGGGCCAAAAGGGCGATCAAAATTTGTCATAGGAATACATAGGAAAAATCTTTAAAAATTTTCTTCTCAAGAACAGCAAAACCATTATTGGTCATATTTATATGGAAGCATCTTCAGATAGTGTAGATTCAAGATTGCTCAAATCATGACCCCCGGGGGTAAGGTTGGGCCACAATGGCGATCAAAATTTTACATAGGGATACATAGGAGAAATCTTTAAAAAATTTTCTTATCGGGAACAGCAAAGCTATGATTGGTCATATTTATATGGAAGCATCCTCAGGTAGTGTAGATTCAAGTTGTTCAAATTATGACCCCTGGGATAGGATGGGGCCACAATGGGCGATCAAAGTTTAACATAGGAAAACAAAGGGAAAATCTTTAAAATTCTTCTTAAGAACAGTAAAGCCATGATTTGTCATATTTATATGGAAGCATCCTCAGGTACTTTAGATTCAAATTCGTTCAAATCATGACCTCCAAGGGTAGGGTTTGACCACAATGGGTGACCAAAGTTTTACATAAGAATTATATAGGAAAAATCTTCAAAATTCTTCACAAGAACAGCAAAGCCATGATTGGTCATAATAATATTGAAAAAATCCCCAGTTTATGTAGATTTAAACTTCTTCAAATCATTACCCTCCAGGAGAATAGAGGGGCCATAGCAGGGGTTCATAGTTATACAAGGGAATATAAAAGATATTTTGATAAAAAAAAATTTTTTTAGAACATCTTAATAACAGTAAACTGATTTCTTCTTTTTCCTTGCAAAAGTGCTCAGGTGAGCAATGTGGCTCCTGGGCCTCTTGTTTTTCATGCATTGTCTTCAGAACACCTCAAAGCTGAACATTTAGAATTTATATTATGTCAACATAATGTGACTTTTTCCATGTTAATAAAAGTGCACATTTTTGAAAAAAAGTATGATTAAATAGCTTGATCAAGGTCTTTTGAATAGGAAAATTAAGCTACACTGGTGTAGTTAATTCGACTACAGAGCTTAATCAATTTTAAGAGATTGTGCAATACCTGCTTAACCCTTCACTATTCTAAAAATATTTATATCACCATTCCTGATTCAAAGGGAGAGCTGGGCATATGACCAATAAGTCCATAATCTACTGAATTAAGAAACATGTATGTTTTCGATTTCGATGCTGTTGTTACAGTTACTGAAAATAGAATTCAACTGAAGCACGGAAGCGAGTGCTTCCACATTGTTTAATGTGGAAAATATGAGTTCAAAAAGTTTAAATGCTTTGAGTAATAGGACACTCTCTGGAGACCCCCCCCCCCCCCCCCCGAATTTTAGTAAAATTCTGCAATATTTGATTTATGTTTTAATTCATCAATTCATATATTAATTTATGAATATTACTGCTGTATATGATTTATAAGACTGGTTATAAGAGGTTTATAAAAAGTTCCAAGGCATTTTGTAAAGACATATTTAATATACATTGTATAACACTGAATACGTAAAATGCTTATCGGCCTATAATAAGGTTAATGATAAGGACATCTGGGAGGGCTGCTGATGTCGTTCGTAAGATTTTTTCTCGCTGAAAACGCACTGCTGACAATATCTGAGGAATTATTTAGAAAAAATGCTGAAAAACAATTGGTGTTTAATGGTTTATAATGTTATAAATCGTCAATTGCCTAAAATGCATCGGCTTCCACAAGACTTCACAACCTAAGTCCCACCAGGACTTTGCCTTGGTTCTATCGGGGCCTTATTATGGCCCCCAAACCTCTAGCATTTTACGCTTCTACACGGATCGATTCCAAGCTACGCCGCTGCACCCAAAGGCTAAATGGCAGAGCTTTTCAGTAACCTCTCACTTTTAATCAACTGCGTAGCATACTTTTAATTTTGTAAATTTTAAAAGAATTGGTTTAAGTGCAACTTTTATACTTTTATAAAATCATGTCATTATTTTTATTGAAAACATTTTTTTTTTGTTATAAAATGAATGCATAGCGTATAAGTAGTTCTTGTTTTAAAGTAATTCTCATTGATTGAAATCTTTTTAGTCTTACATGAGATTTAATGGAGCAGGATATTTGCTTTTAGGAAACCTGGCGTACAGTTTGAGATACCAAGATCATCTTTTTGATGGAAATTGGACTACTGGTGTAAATATAAGGAATGTAAATATACAACTACGTCATACATTTATCGTGTCGGCCATAACAATTATAGGTAAAATATAAATTTTATCATCTAAATGTAACTTTTCCATATTCTGTTAAAAACACAGAGAATTTAACTTTAATTAAGCTGCAATATAAAATATTGATAATTTGAAAAGTATATTTCACAACGAAAACACTATGTTATGTTAACGAGTTTGTCATTGCCAGACGTACGGGAATTGAGAAAATTGAACGTATATTTCTTAGATTATTTTTTATCATTGATCCTTGATGCATATTTTCATTTGGAGATAATCTTTAAAAGGCAACTTTTCATCTGGATTGATGGTTTCAGTCAAGGACAGCAATGAAAATAGTTGTTACCATGGTTTATTTCCTGAAAATACATGGACAATACTTTGTCGTCGAGTGTTGAAAACAAGTGTTTTAAATGTATCACTCGGTTTTCAAATTCATGTCAAGGAAATAGAAGTATTTGGAGGTAGTGTTTCACAACCTTTCAGAAATTAAAAAATAAAATGATCGGTAAATCAGTTTATTGATTATCTGAAAATTATTATTGAAGTAATGTGTGTGTTTTTCCCTTTTTTAAAGGCACAAACGTTGCCTTGTGGAAGTGGACCAATCAGACAAGTTTCTATCAGAGCAGAACATACGATGCAGACAAAGCTGTGGATGGATGGGATGGCGGGCATAATTTTGACTCTGATTCCTGTACTCATACCTCGGGTTATGAAGATCCCACGTGGACTGTTGCACTAGAAGACTTTTACTCTATTATGTCAATACTAATAGCCAACAGGGACGACCAAAATAGTAAGAATCAATAGGAATACATTATATACAGATACAAACCACACTATTCCGTATTTAGTGCCAGGAAAATGACATATACATGTAATTTAGAAGATATATATGCATTCATTCTTCTTAAAGCATTATAAGCTGCATTTTTGAGAATTTTATTTTGCTGTTAAAATGTGTTATAATGATAAATTTATATGTAATTTAAACCCTTATGATCAATAGATAGAAATAAAGTATGAAATTGTTTCAGAATAAAGGATTCTGTACATTCAAATCTATCGTATTATATAAGACATCAATATTGTACAATACGACAGTAATGTAATTTTACTTGAATTAAAGCTTCTTCCATCGCAAATATGAACAACAGAAGTTTATAAACATTCTTTTTTTCTGTCAATGAAAAAGTTAATTACAAATTTACAACAAAAATTTCTGACACCAATGCAAAGTTGCAGCTCATATTGCTTTATAACAAATAGCAATTTCTATTTGTATAGTAAACAAGTTGTGAAACACTTACGGTGACGGTTAAAGTTTCTTAAATGCAAGTCAAACTCCTAGGACAAAGTCAAGAGATCAAAAATGTTGTTACCCAAAGAAAGACCTTGTTTCAATGAATATAACTGTGAAATAGGAAACCCAAGCACTAATCCCTCAAAAGTTATGGCTAAGGTTAAAGTTTTTTTTAAAGTGCATCAATCTCCAAGATTAAGGTCAAATAGTCAAAGTAATGAAACCAAGAAGAAGGCCTTTTTACAAAGAATACACCTGTGAAAAAAACCTAGTACAAACTGTTCAAAATTTATGACCAAGATTACAGTTTTTTAGAGTCAATGTCAAAAGGTCAAATGTGCTGGGAACCAAAGAAAGGTCTTATCACAGTGAATACACATGTGAAGTATGAAAGCTAAAGATCCAAACAATCAAAAATTATGGCAAAGGATAAAGTTTGGTGAATTTTTGCCAAAGTTGGTCAAGCTCCAAGGTCAAGGCAATAAGATCAAATGCGTTGCTACCCAAAGAGAGGACTTGTTACAAGGAATTCACATGTGAAATTTGAAAGACATAGCTTCAACCAATCGAAAGTTGTGGACAAGGTTAAAGTTTTTGTGGACAAACAGAGAGCTAGACGGACAGTCAGGGCTTAAGCATTATACCCCCAAATTTTCGGTTTTTGTCCTTAAAACAACACGAAAAAGGACCTGTTGCATGTTTAATGGTGCAGAAAAGTATACTATTTTTACGAAATTGAATGGTGCTGTCATGTGTTTTACAGGGCCAATTGAAAGAAAAACAATCAACCAAAAAAAAAAAATCAAACAAACAAACAAAACAAAACCAAAAAAAAAAAAAAAAAGAAAGAAAAGAAAAGACGTGTTTGTGAAACACTAATGCGCCTATGTGACACTATTTTGAAGGTTATTTTGAAAGTTTCTCAAATGCAAGTCAAACTGAAATATTATACCTAAGCACCAGCCATTCAAAAGTTACGTCTAATGTTAGGTTTTTTTTTTTCAAAAGTAGGTCAAACTCCAAGGTCAAATGGTAAAATTATTGATATTCAAAGGAAGGTCTTGTCACATGAAATATAAAAGCCCTAGTACTAACTGTTTAAAAGTTATGGCCAAGGTTAAAGTTTTTAAAAGTTGGTAAAACCATAAGGTCAGGGTCAAAAGGTCAAAAATGATACACAAAGAAAGATCTTGTCACAAAAAATACACATGTAAAACATGAAAGCAATGGCTCCAACCAATCGAAATTTATGGCCGAGGATATAATCTTGTAAATTTTCCAAAAGTGAATCAAACTCCAAGGTCAAGAGGTCAAATGCAAGGAATACACATGTGAAATACGAAAGCCAAGATTGAAAATTTTGTTTGTTTGAGCGAGAGCTTTGGAGGCAAAGATAAATTCGGTAAGTTAGTACACCGATAACATTGTCATAGGCGATCAATATAATCCACGGTCACACGTGTTAGTGTTAATACATTTTAATGATATAATTACAAACTTTAAGAATTAGATTCATTTGTTGTTGAATTAGAGTGTATGTAAACGTACGAGGGTTGTTCGGAAAGTTCGTGGACAATGTCAATCTTCTCTATACTATCTTCAAAAAATTTAAAATGAGCACATAATTATATGTTAAAATATTTATTTTGTTGATGTGTGAAGTTTCATTCCATGTGATTTAATAGAAGTCATGTTATTTAATTTTAAAAATCTACATGTTTTGTACCCACGGAGCAAACTCAACAACATTGTAACGTCAAAAACAGCGTCATGAACTTCTCACAAATATTCTCCCTATACATTTCCCACAGTATGGCCCAATACCAGGGCACTTACTAAAACGTTTCTTTATCACGTGAAATTTATTTTGCTAACATTTGTTCCAGTAGCATAATTTTGTTTGACAATGTTATATTCTGTTTACTGCGTAACTGTGCTTTCACAAGATTAGCAGCTGTGAAGCGCCTAACTCTCACCATGATCTTACTAAGTTTTTAAACAGATTTTTACAGATAATCAGTTTCCACACAGATCGTCCTCGTCTGATACAAAGTATCTATCATTCATATACCGCCTGGCCCCTGTACACACACATGCATGGCTCGCTTTTGACATATTTCCTACTTCTTCCAGCATTTTCAGAGTTTTTTTCTGGAGTTTTCCAGAGTAAAACACAAAATCGTGTCGTTAACCGCTGCTCCGTGACGTTCTACACGTCATCTTTTTATTGCGCTTTTCAATGAGGACTGCCTATCTTCTGAAATTGATTTCTTTTCAACGAAGCAAAATATAAAGTCATAATTTGGAATATGAAACGATGTAACAGTTCATAATTTGAACGTCTAGGATTTTTCTGTTTTTGCGCCATTTTTACACAGGAAATGACTACAGACATTATATAGTGTATTGATTGTAAATTACGAAATATTGACCTGCGCCGCGATACCATTTTCGCATTTTTTTTTAACTCTAAATAAGTTTGAAATAAATCTCAATATTTAATTTTTTTTATTCACGTCATTTATATTATTTGTTGAAATATTTCTACCAAGTTTGGATATAATATGACGTTAAGTATAAAAGTTATGACAGTAGTCCACGAACTTTCCGAACAACCCTCGTAACATGAAAATAGTCTGGTAATCTTGCTTTAAATAAATTCAATAGAAGCTGTTTTTCTTAACCATCAAAAACATAAAACAGCCTTGAGAGAAAACATGATCCTTGATTTGAAAAAAAAAACCCATTAAATCCTCCAAATGATCCAAATTTTGTTGAAATTATATGTAGCTCCAGCAGTTCTGGAGAAATTGAAAATATTAACGATTAACAGATGCAATAGGGTATTAGGAAAACTCGCTTGAGCTTCGGCACTAGCTGCGATAAGTGAAGTGTGATCTGAAGTCAAATGACTAAGGCAATATTTCATTTTAAAGGAAAACGAATAGATGGATTTTCTATAACCGGTAAAACAAGGAATGGGATGAATATCCATATTTATTCTGATGTGAACCCACCGTCAGTGGGGAGGAGTGATATCTGGATAGACTCGGGAAATATCAACTTGGAACCTGTGAATGAGATTACAATCCATGGCAATACCACGAGTACAGAAAAAATCCTTACACTCTGTGAGGTTTACATCTTTGGTAAGTGTTTGTTTTATGTATTATTTAAGATCAAAATTAGTATTATTCTGTCTCTGTTTCCCTTTACTGCAAGCTAAAAGAGAAGAGATGTTGGTAACCTTTTATAAGACATTTAAAAAAAATCTTTGTGAATTGACTCTAATTTCTTCAAGTAAATTAGTTTGCGTTAAAATATCCAGATTTACGGTAATACAAACTTAGACTCATTTTTCAACTCAAAGATGAACTAGAATATTAAAATCTTTATTGAATTGAACGAAATATATGGAGATAACGGAAAGCATTCAAGCTCAAAAGTCCATTAAAACAATACAAACCGGGAGTAGAGCAAACACGGACCCTTAAAACATGAGAGATGGTATCAGATGCAATGGAGGAGTGAGCATCTTCTGCACACCCGCCGTGTGCTCCTAGTCATGTTTTGGAAATAATGAATCCGTCGACATATCAGTATGTAAGTAATGGTCTAACATTACGTATGAGAAACGTCAGTAAGTATTTGACTTAAGGTAGGTCGCGGGTTTACTGCTTAAAAATTCTTACTAGAAAACATATGCTGAAAATTTGATATAATGTTCCTTAGAATTTATAGCATCTTATCTGTATTTTTTATTAAATTTTTCGAAGTAGTTTTAATGCTGTATTACTGTAAACGCGGTATAGTTTTAGTACTATTGTTACGCTTTACTATTGAAATATCTAGGATAATGACGTTTTTAAGCCAATTTTGCGGAAAGAGTATCTTTAAGAAAGGTTGGATAACGTTTTAAAGACGTAGACGGATTAGTCAAGAATTTTAAAAATATCCAGATGAAGTAAAATTAAACATTTGAGATAAAAAAAAAAAAATCAATATGTCTCGCTAGTTTTCTTTTTTTCTTTTTTTTTGCTAAATAATTTCAAAGTTTGCTTTTATATTGCCAAAATGTTCCGTTTATGGCGTTATGTATGACTACAACGTAATCACGTTTACACATGAGTATAAATATCTTTACATTTGGAATATGCAAGATCTAAAAGGTGACGTGGTTGCGAAATGTAATTTTATTCATCATTTCACTTTTTGCGGAAACATGTTAGGATGACCGGCAACTTATTTACACTAGTATTGTAAAAATCATATTCTGCCCACAAAGTCAGAATGAACGGTATATTAAACATTTCAAGTGTATTAGAATAATCATGCAGCGAAAACACGGCGAGTGACATACATGTAATATTAATTCATGTATTTTTAGCATGTTCATGTTCAGTAGGATTTCAGGCATAACACATGTATTTGATCACTTCATTCGAAAACGGTGAAGATTGATTGATTGATTGATTGTATGTTGTTTTACGTACCATTCGAGAATGTTTCACTCATATAGAGACGTCACCATATATGAGGGGCTTCAAATTTTGACCTTTACTCGGCACTTAGGGCCATTGAGCAGTGAGGGATCTTTATCTTGCCAACGTCTGCCGTGACACGGGACCTCGGTTTTAAGGTCTCATCCGAAGGACCCGCAACTTTCACTTCAAAGTGCCGATCGCATGGCGAAGGAACAGTTGCTACCCATTTTTTATCGACTTAGGTCAGTCGCGGCCGAAATTCGAACTCACGACCTCCCGTTCACGGAGCAAGCGCTTTACCGACTGAGCTACCATGAACGGTAAAACGGTGAAGAAAAAACATCCCAATACTAAGAAAAATGGGGGGGGGGGGATACCGGCAATGTTCTTTCTATATTAGTCGCAAGCTGGTATATAGCCCTAACTCTCAAACATTTCCTAATTTCGAATTCTCTCAATCAAATTTCCATACGCAACTTGCATTTAGCTTATACACAGAGAGCTTTTCTTATATAGAAAAAATGTACTTGATACTTGAAATACGTTTACAGTGCCATATAGGTCTGATAGTCCGGTTGTTTGTTTAAATTTATTTTTTAAATGCATTTCACAATTTGTTAGCCTGCATATACATAGCGACTATACGAGATTCAAATACAAAATAAAAAAAAAAATAATTATGATGATTGAAATAATAATGATAGATAACAGGAAAATACATGTACTGTAATTACTTTTCATTCATTTTTTTAGTGTTGAGGATTGATTCAATCCTGAAACAGTTTCGCCTCGGCAAACGTGGTGTAATACGCACTTCTCTTTGAGGTGCAAACGTGCGCGCAAACAACTCTTCAAGTTTTTGGCTACGAGAATTAAGAATATTTTCTTTTTTCATACCATAACTTTTATGCTGACTCATTTTGATTGACTTTTACAGTTTAGTAACACTTACAATACAGTGTATAAATTATTCCTTTCATTTGGTATCGTATTTAGTTTGCTCTAAGACAATACACATGATCACATCAGAATTTAGACTGTCATTTAAGGACATACGCAATGTAGTTTGAACTTTATTGTCTTTTTCCCTGGAGTTGAAGAGTACCAATTCTTAAAAGAACTGTGTGTTACATTTTAATGTCTATATATGCTGTTGTACACTTCTTGTAAAACACGTTTGGGTAAACAAAACATCTACAATAAATGATTAGAAATTTTTGTATATTTTTCTTTGAATTATACAAGAATTTTCATAAATTGATATCTTTTCAAAACCCCTCGTAGTGCATGCTGATTTTTTGTCTACGAACATCTTATGGCACTATAATCTTTAATTAAGAATATCTTGAAAAATCATCAGTAGGTAAGATACGTTGCGTATGTCCTTAATGATACCCGATCTTGGTTCAGGCATGTGCGAGGTTTACATACAATAGCATGCACTTTGAATTAATCTACTTGATTCGTACCTGTGACTATTTATGAAGTTATTTTCAGAGAATTATACGGGAAACAACGCAACGTCGCCTTTGTGACGTAACTGACGTCATAATCAAATGTGCACAAAACAACCGTTCGAATCGTCGAAATTGTGTACCAAAATTGATAACAAAAGCAAATTTTAGAAATTATTCATACGCAGAGCTAGTGCACGTAAAACGTTGCAGTATTCGATCTTTTCCATTTGCATTGTATTATTTTCCATTTGTATTGTATAATGTTTATTTGTATTCTATAATTTTCCATTTGTTTTCTTTAATTTCTCATTTGTATTGTATAATTTTTCATTTGTATTGTAAAATATTTATTTGTATTCTATATTTTTTCATTTGTATTGTAAAATTTTTCATTTGTATTGTATAATTATCCATTTGTTTTGTATAATTTTCCATTTGTTTTGTATAATTTTACAATACAAATGGAAAATTATACAATACAAATGAGAAATTATACAATACAAATGGAAAATTGAAGATTATACAATACATATGGAAGATTATACAATACATATGGAAAATTATACAATACAAATAGAAAATTACACAATACAAATAAAAATTATACAATACAAATAAAAATATACAATACAAATAAAGAATTATTGAATACAAATAAAAAGTTTACAATACAAATTAAAAAAATATAGAATACAAATAAAAATTTTACAATGTAAATGAAAAAATATAGATTACAAATGGAAAATTATTTAATACAAATGGAAAATTATACAATACAAATGGGAAATTATACAATACAAATGGAAAAGGTCAAATATTGCAACGTTTGACATGCCATATAGAGCATGCTCTTGCGTATCGAATCAACTGAGATACATAAACCCCGTATGCAGGTGATAAGGATATATTGCTACATAAGTAAGGGGAGTTGACGATTGAAAAGTTGAAGACATCACGTCTATCATAAAGCTTTGTTGTTAGGTTACCATTAACGTCACTTTCTAGTAAAAAATCTAAATATGAAACAGATGTTTCAGACTCTGTGGTATCTTTTATTTCAAGCTCACTGGGGTACATTGTATATTGAGTCGACCTATGTATGAAAGTAACGATTGTTAATTGATAATACGTCATCTAAATCTAAACGTCGAGTTGAAGGCCACAGCAAGTGTTTTCTTCTCATACATCCTCATAATGTCAAGGTTTTGTAATTTCTGAATTCCATACAAACCCTTGACATTAATCGCTATTTAAAAGTTGGGCTAGACAGCTACTATTTCATTTGTTTCTGGTCTAGGACTGGAACCAATCAGAAAACAGCTTTTATTGAAGGTAAGTTTTGTAAATAAATATGACTCGTCTTTAAAATGGAAAGTGCCAATATTGTAGGATTTGTGACTAGTTACTTTAAATGAAACATCGTGGATTAATTTTTTGAAGATCGTCCTCCTTACAATCACAAAAGATATGCTCTGGAGTTGGGCAATTTGATAAGACGGATTTGAAAATTATATTGTCATTGGATAGTTTATAATTACCCATTACGTAATGTGTAACCACAAGCCCAACTTTTAAATAACGACTTATGTCAAGGGTTTGTGTGGAGTGCCGAAATCACAAAACCTTGACATTGTGAGGATGCTTCTCAAGTAGAAGTTTTTGAATAGATCTGCTTCATATGAATACAAAAATAGGTCTGCTAATAAGGGGGTGCAATTGGTACCCATGGGAATTCAAACAGATTGTTGGAAGACCAAAAACTACATAGATATTGTCAAATAAACCAGAAAGTCAAGCATCTTTTTAATATCAACTTCAGAATACTGATGTTTACAATCAGAAAGCTTTTTAACAAAATAATTTTGCAAATGACCAATGACAAGGTAAGTATATTTACGAGTTCCATTTTTAGCTGTCTATGATGTCAAAAAGCCTGCACCTCAATGTGTCGTGGGGAATGGTTGTATACAGTATTGAAAAGTCGTACGTTTTGATGTTTTTGATTTTGTTAAAAATTTTGTGATTTCAAATTGTCTAAAAGTTCCTTGGAATTTTTAAGTACCGGTATCCACATGTTATTTACACCACCTCTCAGATATACTGTTGTACAGTTCTCCTGAATTTTCTCCTTCATTACAGCAAATATTTTAGTGAGGAGTAAAGAAAGAGGCTTGGTAGAACATTTACTGAAACCCGCTATGTATCTTTGTTTGAAAGGATTTTTATGAAGTTTAGGAATCCAGTAAAGATATGGTAATTCAAATTCATTTTGATTGTTGGGAATATTAAAAATATCTAAAACGCACATATGATTTTGAAGAATTCCTCCATAGAAAGTGGGCTATGGATGTAAGTTGGATTTCCATCTGCAGAATTAAATCCTAGTTCCTCTAAAATAGAATTCAAATAATGAGCCTTACAAACAAAGAATATCTTGTTACCAGCTTAACTTCACTTGACTTAACACCTCACCTCACCCTTGTTTCCCAGCGTCATTACTATCGAAATATAATATTTTAGCGTACATTTAGAATTAGTATTTATATAAAGCTATAGTCTTTCTTTATTTTCCATAGGGGGTACAAAAAATTTAACACATTGTGTAACCATTTGAAAAACTGTTTAAACTAATTTTTTTTTCATAATTAATATACATCTATGGAAACAATAGCCAAATTTAATGTAATTTATACATGGATAAGGAAATTAATGTTATAATTATGACATGAAAAAAAGAAAACAACAAGGGCACCGCAAAGCGGAGCACCCTCTCGAAACGTTTATTTTTTTTTATTTTTAGCATGTGTACCTAGTGAAAGCGGACAAAGAAAGTGCAGTGCATATTGTCCCCAAAACTGTGAACCTTCAGATAAATGTCTGAATGACAACTTTACCTGTTCCAAATGTCTTCCCGGTTGGAGTGGACCGTTCTGTGATCAAGGTAATTACATGAAAACAAAAAATAAAAAAATAAAGATAACGGACCCGTAATTGGATTATGATTGGTTATACCTGTTTTCTATAGTACTTTCTACCATTTCGTCCCTAAATAAGCTTAATTAGAATTAAGTAAGTAGGAGCACTGTTACAACGCGAAATGTCTTAACAACGCTAAATGAAATAAACTTGGATTATTACATTTTGTGTTATTACATTTTGCGTCGAGATCAACGCAGAATGTAATAAAACAAAATGTAATAAAACAGTTTTTGGATTAATACATTTTGCGTTATTACATTTTGAGTTGGGATCAATATGTAATCATGCACTTTTTAGTTGTTACATTTTGTGTTACTTAATTTTTGCGTTGAGGAAAACGCAAAATGTAATAAAAGAAAATGTAATAAACCAAAATATAAATATCTTTTGTATTGTGATCAACGCAAAACATGCTCAAAATTGATTTAAAGATATAATAATGTGGAAACTCATTTTACTAAATAGACAGACAGACCTGTGACTATGAGACAAACGTTACGGCTTTACGGACATTACTAAATCTAATTGTACTTTTTTTAAAACTCTGTTTCTAACATTTTAATTGAATACTTATAAAACATTAATTTACATTTGATTGACATGTCTAATTATAAATCAGTATGTATTATATATCCATCACTGGCATTCTTAATTACCAAAGATTGACCATGGGTCTATCAAAAGCTCTTGATATGCATGTACGACGTGCATGTGTTCATTGCTAAGCAAATTGGAAGTACATAAGTGTGTCTGGCGTGGAGAATCGGGGGGTAGGGGCTACTTCGTATGTTTATTAATATTGTACTTTTATGGGCATGCAGAAACTATCCATTTTATTATTGAAAAGAGAGAGAGAGAGAAAATTTTATTTTAGCTGGTCTGCAATGCACATGATTTGTGAAACAAAATGAAATCTTAATTGTCAAGAAACTCCCTTTCGCTATATTTAGAAGAAGAAGACTTTTAAAGATTTTTTCCCTATGTATTCCTATGTAAAACTCTGATTGAGCATTTGGCCCCACCCTATCCACCGTAAATTTGAACAAATTTGAACCTACACTACCTGTGGATGCTCCTAAAATAATATGAATAATCATGGCTTTGCTGTTCTTGAGCAGCAGATTTTTTCAAGATGATTCCTATATATTCTTATGCAAAACTTTGACCCTCTGTTGTGCCCCAACGCCTGGGGGGTCATGATTTGAACAAACTTGATTCTACAATACCTAAGCTTGCTTCTGTATATATATGACTAATTATGTCTTAGTTGTTCTTGAGAAGAAGATTTCGAAGCTATTTCCTAGGCAACGCGCATGATCAGGTTCTTACAAGGGATATATAGGTTTTCCTTTTACTCTGTCTGAGTTAATGATTGGACAGCTATGTCTGAGGGTATATTACATAGTAGTTACATTTTCTCTTTCATCTAGAGATGGGAACTGGGTAAGGTACTACTTGCACCGTGTTTCTCCCCTAGGTTCCCATTGATAGATAAGAAACAGTTCTTTCAATCTTCTTCAGATTTATTACACCCAGAACTTAAGAACTTAACAAAGATTGCATTGAAGTCTATGGAGCAATTTTTTTTTTAAAATTCAAATAATAAAGAATATCAATAAATACTGCAGTGAAAAAATGCACTAAAACGCATTAGAAATAGAATGACAATTGAAAATGATTTTTTTTTCAAGGTAAGATTTTTAAAATTAAAAACTGAGGGAGATAACTCTTACCAAAATTCAAGTTCCTAAATTAGGGCACATCCCACCCTTACATGCTAATAGTAATTAACCATTAGACCTATATATTCATATGTAAACATTGCCCGACTGTTGTGGCCCCGCCCTACCCCCAGGGATCATGATTTGTTCAAACTTGAATCTACACTGCTTGAGGATACTTCTGTATTAATATGTCTAATAATGGCTTAGCTGTTCTTGAGAAGAAGATTTTTATAGATATTTTCTATATATTCCTATGGTAACCTTTGACGCCCCTGTTGTGGCCCTGCCCCACCCCCAGGGGCCATACATATTTGTAAGGTGACCCTGCTGTGTAGTATTAAAATCACGACAGAAATGAGTGTGAAGGTAAATATTTAGAGGAAGCTTTAATTGAATTTTCTTTTAATAATGTTGCATTGCATTTATTTTCTAGAAACAACAAATCAGCGACAGGAGAAGTTCTGTGATTATCAACTAAATCGTAAGGCAGACAACAGGAACGGTTGCACTGCACTGCAACACTGTGATAACGTTAACACATTTGATGACAGAACTGGTGTTTGTACTGGACAGAATAATCAATGTGAGAAAGGCTGGATGGGACCAGGATGTCAATACGGTAAAGATTTGTAAATGCAGTGTATTTTCCCTTTAATTACTTTTTATGTACAAGTCTACAATGTATTTCTTTTGTTTCACTTGCAATCTAGATAATACCGTATTGATGGATACTCACTTCTGAATCTTAACGCGTAGAAAACGGTATATTAAAGCAACGTGATAAACATTTTTTTTCAGCAGTCAAGCATAAATAAAATTTATTTCAGTTCATTACATTTTTCTTTAAAAATAAATGATAAAGAGAAACGACGAAAAATATAATAAATTAAATAACCAAGTTCATAAACTTTATTTAGTTCCCTTGATGTTTGCAAAAGCAAAATACCGGTACTTGAAACATCGCTAAATGCTTCATGTAGCTCGCTGGTCTGTGAAAAAATATGGGAAGGACGACCAGAGATCTACAGTGCCACCCATTTATAAAAAAGTGTATTATTATTTATTGCGCATGCCGTATAGTTCAGAATGTTGTATTTTTCTAAAATCTATGCATTTACCTAAATACCAGTACATGCATGTTTCTTGTACTCTGAAATAACCGGACCTATATCTAAGCAATTAACAAACAGATGCGTTCTTTGTCTTGATTATTCAGTTAATCTTGCTATCAAACCTGGGAACAATGACTTTGTTTTTGACGGAAACCAAAACGTTGGCCGTGTCATACAAACCGCAAATGTTGTCCTGAAAGGAACATTCACAGTCACAGCAGTCAACATTCATGGTATGTTTTGTTCTTCATTTCTCCGAAAATAAAGGAGTTTTCACCTTTATTTGTGCAAAATTCAAGAAAAGATACATATTTTTATTGTAAATTTAATTGCTCCTTTTGCATACTGTCTAAGCTCATGTGCTCATGTGAACCCAATGCTCAATTGAGCGTTTCTAATCGGAGAATGTCCGGCGTTTGTCAGTTAGTCTGTTTGATTGTCGTCTGTAGACTTCTGATCTCTTCAGCAGAACCACTGGACCAATTTCAACTAAATTTACCACAAAGCATCGTTGAATAAAGGGAAATCAAGGTTGTTTAATCAAAAAGTGCTAATTAACGAGGTTCGCTGCTGAGCTTTTGAGCAGATTTCTATTTTAACCTATATTTAAAAAAATCTGCGTAATGTTTTAATTCTTACAATAAATCTGGATTCTACAATGCCAAATAAACTATATTCAGTTAAAACTCCATGATTAAATTCCCTAATAAAAGCATTAAGTGAGGAACTATATTTTGTGGCGGAAGGTTTTTTAGAAGAAAATGATCAATTTTTCTCTTTCGAAGTATTTAAAGTATGTTAAGTTTGGATTCCTATTTTTACATGCAGTCTGAACACAGAATTATTTTGAGCAGTGAACTGATTTATACTGGTCCTAAATTATATATTTAATAAACTGTCATGAATTCAATCATCATATTTGATAAATAAATCTATTTTATAAACTATTTTAATAATATCTAAAAATTAACATCACAGACCCCCACTTTTAACTTTCTTTTCTGAATATACAAGATACTTTTAATCATTCTTCTTAAATTCAGTAAAATGTCATTACTTTTAAATGAGTTTTTTGCTTGTTAAATTTGTAATGCTAGCAAAATGAAATTTTTTGAGTGCAAAAAGGTCAAATAATTGAACGTGCGGAGTAATTTAAAAATTTTTTTCGTTGTCAAAAATTTTAATGGGTCTATTCAAGATGAAATAAAACTGTGTTTGTTCCCATAACTTATTTGAATAAAAAATATCGGAGGAAAAACTTAAAAAATTGATTTATGTGTAAGACGTTTTTACAGTGCAAAAAGGTCAAACTAAATGCTCTGTAGCGCCAAAAAAAGCGCATTGACCCCAATTTTTTGTTTTGATTTTTAATTAAGCTACGTGTATAAATTCTAAAAATATACTTGATAAAAAATTCTCATTACTTTTGATGTCAGGATCCAACCTCCTTAAGTGAGGCCACTTTTAAAAAAAATATTCAAAAACCAAGAAAAAGAAACTTGTATGACACCTTTCTGACATAGTACAGGTTCAGGTTTGTTCAATTCGGGGAAGGGTAGGGCAACAATAGGGGATCAAATGTTTACATTGTAAAAAATAAGTAAAAATTTACCTGAGCTCAGGTGAGATTTTCTGATCAACCATTGTCCGTTTCCCGTCTGTTGTTCGTCCGTCTTTCAACTTTGTTTCATTTTCATCTTCTCAAAGATCACAGGGCCAATTTTAACAAAAATTGGTACAAAGCATCCTTACGTGGAGTTATAAAAATGAAGGACCAAACACCCTTACACGGGGAGATAATAAAGAAAAGACAAAAATGGGGGTGGATATTTATAAATTGTTCTTCTAAAGAACCTCTTGGCAAGAAAAACTTAAACTGATGTGAAAGCTTCCTGAGGTAGTGTAGATTTTAAATTGTTCAAATCATGGCCCCCTCGGGAAAGGGTGGGACCACAATAGGGAAATAGAGTTTTACATTGAAATGTATAGGAAAAATCTTTTAAAATCTTCTTCTCAAGAACCACTGAGCAAGAGAAACTGAAACTTATGGAAGCTTCCTGAGGTAGTGTAGATTTTAAATTGTTCAAATCATGGCCCCCGGGGTAGGGTGGGGCCACAATAGGAAATCAAAGTTTGATATTGAAATACACAGAAAAAAACTTTTTTAAAAATTTCTCTCAAGAACCACTCGGCCAGAAAAGGTGTAAAAAAAACTTATATGGAAGCTTCCTGAGGTAGTGTAGATTCTAAATTGTTCAAAACATGGCCCTAAGAGGTAAGGAGGGGGGCGGGCTAAGATAGGGAATCAGTTTAACATTGAAATATCTAGAATTTAAAAAAAAAAACAACTTCTCAAAAACTACTTTGACAGAAAAGGTGAAACTTATGTGGAAGCTTCCTGAGGTAGTGTAGATTCTAAATTGTTCAAATCAATGAAATATATAGAAAAAATCTTCAAACACAACTTCTCAAAAACTACTTTGATAGAAAAGGTGAAACTTATGTGGAAGCTTCTTGAGGTAGTGTAGATTCAGATCATTCTAAATTGTTCAAATCATGGTCCCAAGGGGAAGGGCCACAATAAGGAATATAAATATTACAAATGGAAAAATATGATGAAAATATGAACAGCAGGGCCAAAGTGACTTAGGTGATCGTTGTGGCCCATGGGCCTCTTGTTTATTTTGTCAAAGAACTGTCTCAGTAGCAACTTTCATTCGATTTAGTATAAGGAATTTTCTCTTCAAAATTCTTTTTCATTATTTATCAACTTATTAAAACTTTTAACGAAATTGTTTCAAAAATAAAGGGATCGAAAATTGCATTTTATTTTGTATTCCTGGAAGCTTTAATAGATTATGTGATTTCTAGGAAAAATATTTTAAAATTGTGAACATGCACATCAATATTTATCAAAAATTCAGTGCAACTTTTTAAATTTATAAGTTGCTTATTTTGTTTATAGTTTGTAAAATGCGATAGATATTCGTTGTTTACTGCAAAAACCAAGATATGCTTATGAAACACTGATGTCCCCGTATGGCAGCTTACCGCAGAGGTTAAAGTTCCTCAAATGCAAGTCAAATTCCATGGTGAAGAGATCAAAAATGTTATTACCCAAAGAAAGGGCTTGTCCCCATAAATATACTTGCGAAATATGAAAACCCAACCGTTCGAAATTTATGACCAAGGTTAAAATTTTGTTTTAGAAAGGGCCAAACTTCAAGGTTAAAGTGTCAATATTGTTGGTATCCGATGGGAGGTCTTTGAGTGCCGAGTAAAGGTCTAAATTTAATGTCCTTCACACGTATCTTTATGAGAGAAATATTCTTGAATAATAAGAAAAACCAAATACAATCTATCACTCCAATTTTATTTAAAACTATGCATAATATTGATGTGTAAGTTTCTTTTCAAGTTTCTGGGATTACATATCCAAAATAGCTGCCGTTGCCAAGGAACTAAAACTGGGCCAATTTCTAAGAATTTGAAATTTTGCAAAGTTTAAGAGAGTATTTGATCATTTCTTTTAAATGCAATACTGCTCACATTTCGAGACATGATACATGTAAGACTTGCAGAAGTAGTGTTTCCACTAAGTTTTATTTTTTATGGGGAACATAGTTATTGCCCTGCCCGTCTGTCGGTCTGTTTGTCCGCAAAAACTTTAACCTTGCCCATAAATTTTGATTGGTTGGAGCTATGGCTTTCATATTTAACATGTGCATGCATATCTTTTGACAAGACCTTTCCTTCTGTATCAACATATTTGACCTCGAGCTTGAATTTTGACCCACTTTTGAAAAAAATACCAAACTTTAACCTTACCCAAACAGTTGATGCTAAAGCTTTCCTACTTCACATGTGTATTTATTGTGACAAGACCTATACGTGGGTAGAAATATTTTTTAACTTTTAAAGGTGCTTGGACACAGATTTGAAGTTGATATTTTCTCAAATTTTCTGTATAATTTCATGACTTATATGTTGCTATAGCATTTCATACAAAAATATAATCAAAATCTTATTTCATCTCGAAGTTATTAAAACTTCGAATTCCTTGACGCGTTGGATTGACATATTTCTTGCGCTTTCACATATTTTAATTTTATTCTTAATAATTAAGAAAAGTGGCAATTTTGTAGTGTATTAATGAAAAATATTAAAACTATAACCCAGAAAATTCAGAGTAGAAATGTTCGAAAGAAAAACCCACTCACAGTATTGTAAGCCCGTGCTCAGTGGTGTGTGCAGAGTTTAACAATTGAACACATCCGGTGAATCGTAAACATTAACAATAACAGAGCTCGTGCCCTGTTTACAAAAACAGTTTACGTTTCACGGGTGTGTTCAATTTGTTTAACTCTGTACACATCACAAAGCACGGACCGACAATACTGGTGGGTTGGTTTTGCTTTCAAACATTTCTACTCTGAATTTTCTGGATTATAGATGTAATATTTTTCATTAATACATAACAAAATCGCTTCGTTTTTTAAATATTAGGGATAAAGTTAAAATTTATTTGAGTGCAATCAAACGCGCCCCAGAATTCGTAGTTCCAATAATTTCCAGATAAAATAAGTTTTTAATTATATTTTCGTGTGAAATGCTATATCACACAGAAAATTTGAGAAAATATTAAGTTCAAATCTGTGTCCAAGCACATTTAACCTTGAATTTAGAGTTTGATTCACATAAATTAACCTTGGAAATAAGTTTTGAACATGTAATACTAGAACTTTCATATTTCACATGTATATTTCTTCTTACAAGTCCTTCCTTTGGATACCTACAATTTGACCTTGACCTTGGACTATGACCTCCTTTTGAAAAACTTTAATCTTGGTAATAACTTTTGAACTGTTGGTGCTAGGGCTTTTCAAATCATATATCCATTAAAAAATTAGTTTACTCGTCTCGTTTACATGTACAGTTCACATTTGTTGATATCTAGACCCTCAGAGAATGGTGAGGTGACACGAATGACAAGAGTTCTACATGAGTATATATAGGATTTTTTCTCCAAAAACTTCTCAGGAACATCAGGCCCTTGATTAATCATATGTATATGAATATGAAAGTATCCTAAGGTAGTGGTGATTTATATTTTTTGCGCATCAGTGCCTCGGAACTAGGATGGGCTGCAAATTTTACATGGGATTTTATTGATAAAAAATCTAAATCTAAATCTTGTCAATAAAACCCCTTTTCGTCTTAGTAAGTCATGCTGAAAATAATATGCAGGCATTCTAATATAGTCGAGATGCTTAACAAGAATTCAAGTCAAGGTCAGAATACGCACAATACTAGAATCAAGATTTATAATTGCACAAAAATATCTACAAAAAAAATCTTTTTAACATTTACATGGCAATACATCATAGAAGATGGGTGAACAAGGCGGGCGAAGTGCCCATAGTGCGACAAACATGAAGTGAAAAATAAAATCTCAATTATATCCAAAATTTAATTGATATTTCATCTAAAATTAAAGTATACTTTATGTAAATTCTCTATAATTTACAAAAATCCCACAAAAACTGAAATTATTTGCCTACAAAATAGCATACACGCACTAAAGAGGACAAATGGGGTCATTTTCTCACACTTTTAAAAAGTTTTTCGATATGAGTGGGTCTTCGCTCCATTTTTTTAAAAGTTAATCCTAAAAGTTTGCATAAAAATATGCATTTTTTGGTGTACAAAAAAATGGAGCATAAAACCCACTATACTTTAAAAGTCCACTTTTATAACAAAGCAATTGCATCTTTCCGAAAAATACTTGAAGTTCATTAAGTCAAGGGTCATATCACAAACATGATTTAAATGCCGCTATTCATCAGGGGCTGTGTAGCGTAGTGGGTAGCGTGTTAGTCTGAAAGCAATATGATACTCCGGATTTTTATTGTTAGGGGTTAGAATCCCACGAAAACTATTTTATTTTTTTAATAAAAGAATAATTTTTCCTAGATTTTTTTTCTCAGAAAAGTTTTGTTGATCATAATTTCATAAATTTCAATAATGAGAACTTTACTTTAAATACTAATTCACAAATTGAATATGATTTTTTAAATATCTGAAGCTATAGGCATTCTGCACGCCTTGTTCACCCATCTTCTTTATATGCACATATTCTCAGGCTATGTGAATTAATTTTTAGGGTTTCTGGTTTGCCAAAAACCACAGTATAATCTTTTACACAATGTACGTAATTACTATGCAAAAAGATTAAGTATTCCAGGAATGCAAAGCCAACATTAGTCATTAAGTTATTGATGTTTAGGCATTCTCATGTTTCGTGGATCAAAGTTTTAAGTATTTCGCCTAGAGCTAGGATGGGCCCATATATGGGTTCATTTTTTTCATTTGAAATCTTGGAGGGCGTAATCTTTTGAATTCAGTGTTTATAACTAATGTTAATCAGATGATCGTTGTGTGTGTGTGTGTGTGTGAGAGGGTGTGTGTGTGTGTGTGTTTTTCATGCTTTTTTTTTTTATTTTATTCTTTTCGCTTTCAGTCGATCCAATGCAATCCTCTACAACTGTGACGATCAGTGATATCAATAACCGTACCTGCTACATCGGAAAAATTCCCATGGGATCCCCTACTATTTTCTTCAGCAGAATGTGCATAACAAACAATATAACGATAAGATTTGGAAGACAGATATTTGTGAAAGAGATTGAAGTTTTTGGAGGTATGCATCAATAAGATACTCAATTTGTCTTTCGTGTTGATTGGTTTATTGCTTTCCATTCGAAATTACAGTAACTTTGTAATTAATGTTGGTAATCAAAGCCGGATGATGTAAACGAATTTAGGAATGTATCTGAAATTTTTTTTAGATGTATGAATATCTTTTGAAAATGTGTTGGTATGGCACTTGATATACGTATGGTTTGCTATTATATTCATTTTGTCATTATTTTCAGTCATTCTATATCCTTAAAGTTACATAATGAGTCAAAAGCATGTGTTTCTTTTAAGAAAATTGTATCACAAAACAAAAGTTTTATGTGAAATATGAATATAGCGAAGTTTTGGTAACGCAAATGCACTGTAAAGCAAGAAAAAAGCTGCAAAATGTAAGTGCCGGAAAAACAAATGTTGTATCTATCGCTTTGTTTTTATCGTCAATGTCCACAATGTCAAGGTCACGCGTCCTTTATTTTTAGCGTGAAACTTGTAAACAACATTACATTGGAGCAAGCAGAAGTGAGAAATAAGTTCTGATCATCTTTTTTTTGAAGATTGTATAAAAATTCTCGGTCATCCGACTTTTATATCTGTGGAATTGAAACCATGGTAAATTCTTCAACTTTCAGCGCATGCGTACAATAAAGAGGAAGAAGTGAAGCAATATTTTTGTGTTGGGTTATACAAAGATTTTTTTTACTTTTATTTTTCTCCATTTAAGTAGATTTTTTAGGTTCTGAAACCTGTAATTTTCTGAAACCTAATACTTTCAAGAGCTGAACAAAATTTGCATGCGTCATGCATAAATTCTACTTCTGTCGATTTTCGCGTTTTTCCGTCACGGTGTCACTTTAAGGACTTTCTAAAGAACTCAACGGACCTTTAAAATACATTTTACATAATAGCAAAGCGTTTGGAGAAAATATTTTAAAAAGTGTTTTCCTTAAGTACTTTAAGATTGTTTAACAATGAAACTGAAAGACTGGGTTCTTTGATTTAGGGAAAAACATTTTAGATATTTAAGCCTTTCGAATTTTATGCACAATTACATGCACATGTAAATTAAACTACAAACAAAACTGGCTTTATAATGTTCGAAGGAAAGGAAGGCGATGTTTGATTCAGTTGTTCTGTAAATGGATTTCTCACAGTAAAAAAAATCATATCGATTTTTTATATCAAGAAACTGGTACATGTACTAAGATCGTGTCTTAACATCTGAAGTAGAGTGCATGGGCGACGGAAAGGGTAAAAAAGACATATATATATATAAATATATATATATATATATATATATATATATATATATATATATATATATATATATATATATATATATATATATATATATATATATATATATATATATATATATATATATTACAAACATGTAATTTACAAAAATACTGAAATATAAAACAAACAGCTTACAATAAAATCAACTGCAAACTCAACAGACTCTGTTGCAAAACGAACGATCATCAATGCATAATCAACAATTGTTAATTGAATTGATTCTAGGTGGCGTGAAAAATGAACAGTTTAAAAGGTAAAGGTCAACAGGCTGGCCCAATGTGTATTTTCATGCTTTGTTTCATTAATTTTTTCTAGCACATTTCGAATTTGTTCAATATGAAAAAAATAAATAATTAATAGTCGGATAAATATTTCATTAATATATCTCGCATCATAATCCAATATTAAAGTATAACTGTATATGTCCTTTTTATTTTCCTTATTTAAAAAATTCTTAGACTACCTTGTGTTTGGTATCTTAACGCAACGTAATATATTTTTTAAATTCAGAAATTGGTGAAACTAAAGTCTACGAAGTATTATTACAACGTTGTGCAATCAATTTTACAACGTTGTGCATAACAAAGTTTTTTTTTAAATTTTGCAAAGGAAAGTGAAACAAGTTGTGATTATATAATTTAAAAAATTACAAATTTACAACCCACAATTTAAGCTTTACCTTTTTTTTTTTCTTTTCTTTTTTTTCTTTTTTTTTTTTTTTTTAGAAATTACAGTTGAAGTCTTTAGCTTTCCAAAGCTTACATAATCGCACACCATCTCGCGTTAATTTAGATGACTGTCTCGCTAGGATCAATTACATTGGAATTCAGTTAAAATTGTTGATCACGCATCGACGATGGTTCGTTTTTGCAACGAAGTCTGTTGATTTTGTTTTAAGCTGCTAATTTTTTCTTCAGTATGTTTCCGCAAAATTAATTGTTACTTTTGCAAAAAAGTCTTCTATGCCCTCTCCGCTGAGGGTTTATAGAGTTGTTAAATTATTGATACACCTTTATTTATTTATTTTTCAAAATGGATATGATCATCAGGCCAAAAATATGAGTTCTTCACAGACTTCTCGCGTGTTCTTTACTTAATTACATGAAAAAAATTATATTTGAGAGGGAGAGGGAGAGAGTTTCGAACCAAGGACAGCATAACGAAAATACATTTATCTGATAAACATATACACAGAAAATATTTCTGTTATATATATATATATATATATATATATATATATATATATATATATATATATATATATATATATATATATATATATATATATATATATATATATATATATATATATATATATATTTATATTTATTTATTTATTTATTTTGAACGAGAATAGAACTTGACCAAATAAATAATAAAGGATCACTTCTAGGTAAATATATGCGTTGACCTATAGGGCCGATATTGGTTTCATTCTTTAGAAAAAGCTTATCGATATCCGTTCCGGTCGCTGACTTTAGGCCACAAGCGTGTAGTTTCTTGTTTCTCATGTATCGTTTTAGTTATAGTCAACTGTGTGTTCATATGACCCTACATCGGTATTTACATATACATCCTTTGTATGAGGGTTCTTATTTGATTCCTGAGTAATGGCAACGGGACATTAAACCTTAACTGACCTTACCACATTCTTTTCTAATCTGTAAGCCTTCCTCCTGCATTTTTGACATAACATGTCGCCAATGCACACAATTTTCCCGAGGAATGAACTGCATCCACTCTGCATAGCGCAGTATCTCTCCCACTGGCACAACAGCACTATTACCCAGAGGTGTTCTTGAAAGACAAACACAGCAATTTTTGCTCGGCATGATTTTTTTGTGACACCTGCAGTATCGAGTAACACAAAGTGAATGATTCGTGTCCTCGAACAAAGTATGCTTACACTGAGGTATACAGTTCCGGTCGATTGCGTTTAGTTAAAGAGAATTTATGATCCGCATTTCCATAAATGTCCTTTATATCAACAGCAAACATACATTTAAGGAAGAAAATGGAAGTAAAATGCAAAAGCCTGTATAAAAAATTAAAGTTCGTGTTTATACAGGTGTAAAATTTGAAAAAAAATAAAAGTGTGCCAACAGGTGGATTCGAATCAGGACACTAAAAATGCCCACTGTAAGAGTCTGCGGTGTATCTCTCTGAGCTATACTGACTATGAAAACGTACTCCATAAATATAATCCAGTATGATAGAAATAGGTTTTCGCATTTTTTGTAGGTTTTTTACGAATTTCGACCCTAAGGCAGGGGTGCCCCTAAAAAGATCTTGTTTTAAATCATTCTTTAGATCAAAATCTATCAAAATTTCATAATTTAATTTAGGGGCAGGCCTGCCCTGAAGGACTTCTATGCCAAAATTCACGCAAAAATTAGTGCTTTAACGGACAAAATACTGTTTTGACCAACTTTGGAGGTTAATTTCAAAGTTGCAATAAAAAAAATTAGGTTTAAAATGCAAATTTGAAAAATTTAGACAAATATACGATAGAAAACAACTAAAGAACATTGATTTTTAAATGTGACTTTTTCCGGAAAATTGTTCTCTCCTATAGGTCAAATCTTTTATTATTACGAATACATCCTTTGTAGGAACAACTGTGTTATAATCCAAACGAAAATGTATATAACATTTACTTCACAACTATATTCCTATGAAACAAACATCTAAATTATTCATTCATTCCAAGAATTTATTTATAGAACTCTTTTTCATATTGCCTAAAAAGCACTATTTAATTGTAGAGGTTTTCCATAATTACAGGTAAAAACGTAGCTTTATGGAAAATAACCAACCAAAGCTCAACTCTTGGTCCTTGGACCTCTGACAAAGCTGTGGATGGTAGAGATGATGGTGGGAATTTTGATACTAAAACATGTTCTCACACAGCAGAAGGTATTGCTACTCGGCCAAAATGGACTGTTCTTCTAGGGAATTCATTTTCCATAACATCAATTCGAATTCGCAATAGGAATACACTGCGTAAGTTGCCCAGACCCTGAAATATAACATAAATGTACTTGTAATCACAAAATATAAACCTTTGTCCATTATACATTCAAAAATAATTTGGAAGTCATCACTACCAAAATCTTATTTGATTAATTAAGAGAACTGTTCAAACTTTTTTTTTTAGAATTCTTTTTTTTTTTTTTTTAATTTAACGAATTCAATAAAGACGAATTCATATTTTCTCTGCATGCTTTTTAAAGTATATATGAATATACACAGGTATATTTATCAAAATTGCAAAATTGGTATATATATATATATATATATATATATATATATATATATATATTTAATTGATGTGGTAAAGGAGATGGGTGAACATGACTAGCGAAAAGCCTATAGTGTGACAAACATGAAAGTGAAAATTTAAATCTCAATTATATCAAAAGTTCCCTTCATATTTCACCTACATGTACCATTAAAATATACTTGATGTAAAATCTCTACCATTTGCAAAAATCTCACAAAAATTGAAATTATTTGCTTATGAAATACTATGCACGCACTAAAGAGGGCAAGAAGAGTAATTTTCTCATACTTCAACACCATTTTTCGATATGAGTGGGTCTTCGCTCCATATTTTGGAAAGTTAATCTTCAAAGTTTGGATAAAAATACATATTTTGGTTTCCAAAAACATGGAGCAAAGATCCACTATACCTTAAAGATATACTTTTATGACATAGCATTCGCATCTTTTCGAGAAATACTTAAATTCATTAAAGCTGAACACTACTCATAAATAGGCACCTCCACACAGATATATAAACCCTTCGATTTCGTTACACCCGATTGCACACTTGAAACTCGTGGCCGACATGTAGTTTTCCGTACGTGGTCTTAGATTTTTTTTTTTTAGTTTATTCCATGTTTTATGTGCATTTTCTGTCTGTAAATAATGCATTGACTTGTATATTTGATGTTACTTTTCTCCTGGCTCGGAAAAATGTGTAAAATTTGATAATTTCATCTCGACCGAGTAATACGGCAATGTAAGATGTACCTCTTCTCAGGCGAGACCTCTACAGCGTAATACTTTGAACTGTTAAAAGGTCTCCGGCTTATATAGGTGTTGTTGGGATAGCGCCGATGAAATAGAAATATGGCGGACAATGCCTTTAACGAGTAGTGTTCAGCTTTAAGTCAGGGGTCATATCACAAACATAACTTAAATGCCATTATTCATCAGGACTTGTGTAGTCTAGTGGTTAGTCTAGTGCTAGTCTCGAAAGAAAGTGATACTCATGATTTTTATTGCTTGGGTTCGAACCCAACGAATTCCAAATTTTTTTTAAATAAAAGAATGAATTTTGTCCAGAAAATTTTCCTCAGAAAAGTTTTGCATATCATAATTTCATAAATTTCAATAATGAGAACTTTACTCTAAATACTAAATTCACAAATAGAACATGATTTTTATATATCTGAAGCCATAGGCTCTCTGCACGCTATGTTCGCCCATCTCCTTTAGAAATTTATTTCAAAATTAGGGAATTTCTCCCTCATGCATAGCTCTGATCCTTTAACGTATTTGGCTCCAGTCTTTTTAAGTTTTTTTATGCTATATAGTTTTTGCCCTGTCCGTCTGTAAGTCTGTCTGTCCACAAAACCTTTAACCTTGCCCATATCTTTTAATTGGTTGGGGCTATGGCTTTCAAATTTCACATGTGTATTCCGTGTGACCTTTCTTTGGGTACGATCAAATTTGACTTTTTGACCTTGACCTTGGAATTTGACCACTTTTGCTAATTTTATCAGACTTTAACCTTAACTTTGGAATAGTTGGTTCTAGGGCTTTTAAACTTCACATGTATATACATTTTAACAAGACGTTCCTTGGGATACCAACACCTTTGACCATTTGACCTAGACCTTGGAGTTTGACCTACTTTTGAAAAAAACGTTAACCTAGGACATAATTTGAACAGTTGATTCTAGGGCTTTCATTCCTCAGATGTGTATTCCTTTTGACAAGACCAACAATTTTGGCCCATTGACCTTGACCTTGAGGTTTGACCTATTTGAAAAAAATCAGTTCAAAAATAATATTCCTAAAAAGCTCAGATAATTTCAATTTATAATATCATATATTTCAATAAAAAAGTTTTATTTTCTTTAATAGACTGAAAGTTACTCAAAAGTAACTATATCACAATTACTGTAGCACGTTCTCCGAAAGTCACACCACTCATTCATCCACCATTAACACCAATCAAGAAATGTCCTAAGGACTGCGCCGTTCTCGCGGGTACGTTAAGGCAGTACACAGATCATATTTCGGCCAATTTAGACTTTTTTCGTAAAATGTAACATTGATAAATCGGAAAAGCCATATATAAAACATTTACTATTATTATCCATTGTATAGACGTCATTGAGTCTTAGGCTAAAAGAAGCACTCCACTACGACGTCATCACGTGACGTCTATAAATAGAAAAATTACCTTAATGAAAAAGTGAAAAGTTCAACACTACCCCGGGGATAATTCATTTCTTTTTGTGAAAATAATTATGTAAAAACGTCACTGGACCATGAAAAGTGCTGCTAGAATCCTACTCTCCAAACACAGAAAAAAATATTCCAAAGTTTCGCCTAAAACCTAACCAAAATTTTTACATTTTATACATACATGTACGATCAAGGAATTGTCATCAATTTATGTTAACCACACGATTCTAGCAGCACTTTCCAAGTACTATAGAATACAAGCTTTCGATACAAACAAAAATTGTTTGGCAGTAAGCGGCGTAGTGTTGAACTTTTGCATCTTTGTTGTTATAGAGCGACAGAGGAAAGGCTGATCGGGATTTCAAAGCAGTGCCTGTGTTCATTACAAGAAAACATGATAAGAATATATCAATGTACCTGATTCATAATATTTAATTCCTTATGAATCACAAATAACATCCACGGTATATGCTTTAAAACTCCCATTTCATATATTTGTTTACATGAATTCTCGTCACGTTTCATTTTCACTCGGCAAATATGTGATCAATAGTTATGACGTCATGGGTTTGGTATTTACCCCGGTAAGCCCTGTGATAAATACTTAGCTACTTATACCACCCAAAAACGACAGGTTTAGTTCAAATTATGTTTTTGAATGATTCCATTCATTTCTTGGACTTGAAATTAGACTTTAAATATACCGGGGTAGATATTAAGAAATCATTATTTGTAAAGATCACGTCATACAGCTTACTATGACGTCATATTTTTAAGGCAAGTAGGATATCTCTGGGTGTAGCCTTAACATACCCGTGCTCTTCTCACCACGTGGTAGTTGATTTAACGGCAGCTATGGGTCTATAGCCTCCCACTCCGGTTATCCTAACAACCATTTACAGCGTGGACATTAGATATGACACCTTTGGCCCTCCATTCAACACTCGTCAACTGACTCTCAGCACCTTACGGCTGTCAAATGGCCCTCAGCACATCCACTTATGCAAATAATAGTCTCCCAGCACTTTACGCACTGAAATGAATTTACTTTTACAAAAACCTAACCTTAAGGTTTTGTCAAAGGTCATGATGTCTAAAAATTTATTTTTACAATAGCTTCAAAACTATGTGGTTTATAAAGTTAAAACTTTTACAGTTTATAAATATATCATTGATTAACAGATAGAAAGTATCACTTGAAAACAAATACTTAAAAAAAATATTTTTAGAGGGAAAAAAATGCAAAAAATTTGCACAATTTAAAAAAAAAATGCACCTGCTTAATTCTGTAGTTTTAGTGAAAACCATCAGTGCAGAAATAATATATGTTTATCAATGAAAGGCAAGTTAGACGTGAATGGTCTCTTAAAGGCTGTTATTGAAAGCATGAGATGTACAAAGACAAGACCCCTATAAAATCCGCCATTTGCAATGTACTTTCGGTTTCAAATCTTAACATTTGGACAAAATAAACAGGGAAAACAACTTTCCAGAGGTCATCGAAGTCCAACTTGCCCTTCATTGATAATCATATATTATTTCTGCAATGATGGTTTTCACTAGAAGTACAGAATAAAGAAGGTGCATTTTTTGAAAATATATGCATTTTTTAAAAAGATTTTTTCTCGATAAATACTTTTTTAAAGTATTTGTTATCAAGTGATATTTTTTATCTGTTAATCAATGATATATTTATAAACTGTAAAAGTTTTAACTTTATAAACCACATAGTTTTGAAGCTATTGTAAAAATAAATTTTTGGACATGTTGACCTTTGACAAAACCTTAATTACAACTGAAAACCGGAATGTCATAACAACAAACCACTATATACATACATATACGTACACATTCGAACACTCTTACCGGCTAGAACTGCATACACACGCTGCAATAATCCGCCTAACAAGTTATATGGCTACCCGTTACATTCGGTGCTATATCTCAATATTCGCCAGTTGTATAAATCATGCAGGGAATACAGCCAACGTGGCACACCTCCGGCTTGTCACGCTACCGGACACCAAACTAGATCTAACCACTCTGACAAAACCGGTCCCTTTATATACCAGTAGCAAAACAACCTCAACAGTATGGAACCCCGTTATAACAAAAAGTAAAACATTATATACAAAAAAAAAAATCAACTTCATCACACAATAACATTTGAACATTTGGTTCTAGGGCCTTCATATTTCACGAACACGTGTATCACCTGTGACAAGACCCTCCCTTGGGCACAATTTGACCTTGACATTGATGTTTTTCTTACTTTTGAAAAACTTAAACCTTTGCCATAACTTTTCAACCGTTGGTATTAGGGCTTTCATATTTCACAGGTATTTTCCTTGAGACTATCTAGACCTTTATTTGAGTACCAACAATTTTGATCATTTAACCTGGAGTTTGACTTGCATTTGAGAAACTTTAACCTTCACCATCAGCTGGGGCATCAGTATTTCACAAACACATCTTGTTTCTATCTATAATATTTCGGGTTTCTAACGTTTTGGCATGTGCATCACCGAAGAAACATAATGTATCGAAATGCACAGATGGTGCATCAAAATTGATACTGTATAAGATTACAAATTACAAAAGCATACACACACACACATACAACTTTTTTGAATCACTACTTCGTTACAGAAATGGTATATTGTCGTACGTATGAATTAAAAATAAATTAATGGATATTCAAAACAATTAGCACGTTTCCATATAATAATGTACATACAATGTAATATGAGACAAAAGAACTGTAAAACCCCAGTAATTTCAACAACAACAAAAAGACCAACGGCCGACGTTTTTTTTTTTTTTTGTTTTTTGTTTTTTTTTTTTTTTTTGAGGCAAAAATAGGATTCTACGGGCGACCGTCGGCAGTTCATCAGGCGTTGTCCTGACCAATTTTGCCATCTATTTTTTCGTCGGCCGACCAATTTTGTCCGTCGGACCAAGTTATAATTTTTTTCTGCATCGGTGGCCGATTCCTTCCTTTGAAGCAGTCGAAGAATAGTCTGTCGACCAACCTTCGATGATCGTCCGACCATCGGCAAAAAGCTTGTTAATTCGGTCGTCGGTCGGTCGACATTTAGGAATTGGGTTTTCGTAAATGTCGACCGACAGTGAAAAACAAACTGCGGCTCAACGAACGATGATTGGGCGACGGTTAGCCGACTTACAAATTTTTAACTTTTAAAGACATCGGTGTTCCTAGGAATTAATGTGACTACTCTGCCAATCCCGTTTTTTTTTTCAGCCGACGATACGAGAAAAAATTGTGGTCCCCAGACCATCGGCTTTAATGTGACCTAGGCATAAACCCCCCCCCCCCCCCAACACTCAATTCATAAATAAATAAGTACGATTTCTAAAAAAACCTGATATAATATACTTCTATCATTACCTACAAGTTGTAAGTGTCTATTAAACCTTGAGATATATATATATATATATATATATATATATATATATATATATATATATATATATATATATATATATATATATATATATATATATATATATATATATAAAGATTTCGTAGAAGATGGCACTTTAATCCATAGCGCTTTCGCCTCTTGGCTCTTCAGTGTATTTTGAATATTGACAATTACAATAGCAACATGACATAATAACGTCGTTATTATGACGTCATAGTTAAAAGACAACGTCAAAAGTTGGCGCAAAAAATGTCCGAAGAAAGCGCCAAAATGAATAGACTTGACACTTAAAATGATACATTATTCCTCTGTTCATTTTCCTCTGTAACTTTGTAGAATGGAAAGATACTAAAAAGTCCCTTTCAATTCTACAAAGTTACAGAGGAAAATGAACAGTTACGGCGGGCCAAAGAACAATATTTCATTGATAAATTTAAGCCTAAACTTAACAGATAAATATCCTGTCTGCATCTATGACTATTAATATTGTTTTCATATTTTAATTATTGATTAATGTTGCGTAATAATGTGCCATCTTCTATGAAATCTTTATTATTTTTTTGTATTACTACCTATACCAAGGACTTCTTTAATTTTAATATATATATATATATATATATATATATATATATATATATATATATATATATATATATATATATATATATATATATATATATATATATATATATATATATATATATATTAGGGATGGCAATCGAATACAGAATTGCTAATCGGTTAACCGAAAGACGTTCCGGTTAATCGTATCAAAATACACATTTTCCTTATATTTTATTTTTCAAGTAAACTCTAGTTATATACACAAGAAAACTGAAAAAGGCGTTAATGCTTGATTAGTACGCTGTATATTATATTTTATTTTAATTTCGAACGGCAAGAAAAAAATAAGGAAACCATGAAACATCTCTCAAATATCGCAAGAGTTGATAATGCTACATCACAAGGTCATTGTGCATTGTCACCATAAACAGAAACTGAGTCTGAAATAATTCACAATATTTGTTTGAAAATATAATTTGATGGATAACTGCGAAGGATAGACGAGGTAAGATACACATTGCAATCATTTAAATCATTAAACAGAACACAACAAAGATTTAATTAATATCATAATTAAGACAGGTTGGGTAACGACATGGTATTTAAACAGCAACTAACACCTCGCAAAGTGACCAATTACCCCCAACAAATTCAATCTTGAGAGTCTTAATTAAATTATTTACCTCCAAATCAGCCGAATTAAATGTGGAAACGTGATAACTTATCAATATTCAGGGTTTTTCAATATTGTAAACAGGTAAATCGTGTTTTAAGGAAATTTACACCTATTTTAATTTTTTTCCGACTAACCGATTACAGATTTTCTAACCGATTACCATCGTTCCGACCGAGTAACCGGTTAACCGATTACAAATTGCCATCCCTAATATATATATATATATATATATACATACATACATACATATAAATTGGTTATAATGATAACAAAGACGCAAGCAATAGGTATAAATATTAATTTTCAAATCATTTATTTATCATACATATTCTTGAATTTTGATTAGAGAAAAGAATTAATGATTTTATGGTATTTGGAGTAACAAATGGTGGACAAAAAATACCAATTTATGACGATAAAGAGCACAATCGCATCACTGATCGAAACGACTTATGGATAGATTCCTCCCGGATGCCACACGTGCGAGTCCAGGAAATACAAATCGAGTTACCTTTTGGTCAAAACAAGATTTTAACATTATGTGAAGTTTATGTATTTGGTAAGAGTTTTTTGCATCACATATTTTGCAATTCAAACTCTACATTCACATTATGACTAAAGTATATGTCCCATAAATCTTTAAAATTGATTTGCAACGCAACACAATTGCCTTTTGGTAAAGAAAATTGTTATCTTATTATATCATGGTAAGATTGATTTATTGATTAAAGTAATCTTTTTATTCATTGTTGCCATAATGAAGAAAGTAGTTGTATATAAGAAGCTTACTTCTAACTTGCATGCAAATGTCAAATAACTCTTTTTAATGTTTAATAATACCTAGAATTGTCATAGTGATTTTCTCAATAGTTTTTTGTTGCTGGTTAAAATGGTTGCATAAGCATATTACTGAAAGCAATACAAACAAGATGAAAAGAACGAGAAATATATGTGTCGGATATTTAAGTTTTGTGGGGATGATTTGGCGTACTTTTAGAACTAGAGCACATATTTTCATATTCGTACTTTAGGTTTACTTCCTTATCCTCATATTCTTCTATTTCGTTAAATTTCCTCATACTGTCATACATTTTATCGAAAACATGAAACGCATAAAGATACTGATAAAATAAACAAATTTCGCTTGCATAATATACATTATTTTATTGTATAGTATATTTTTAGCAGTGAAATGCTATAATATTTTCAATAAACGTGATGTTTTCGCAAGTGATATTTCTACAGTGAAATTTTAAAAGTTATATTTTCATAAAAATATCAAAGTACGATGTGCTAGGTGTTGGTACTGTTATAACTGACTCTTACGTGACACAATGGAACTGACGTTTTAAAGATATTAAGAATGAAATTAATGATACTATTTGAATTAATAAATAAAAATTCTCTTCTTGATAACCTACAAATATATCTTAACTATTATAGGTAAAATGGTTCAAAAATTGTTTAAAACGTGTAATTCCGTGTACCTCATTACCACAGCTTGATATAATAGAACCTATCAATAATCAGTGTCTTTTATATAGGAAAAAAACGAACAGGGCCATGAATACAATTCAACATACATGCACATAAAATGTAGTATTTGACATATCAGTGTTCGAGACAGAAAAAGTCAATGTTATGTTACAAATTTAAATTTTTTCACATCCTTGATATATAGCGACTATTTTCGTTAACAAAATGTATCCTTTCGTTTAGCGTGCAGTCCCACAGAAAATGGCAAGGATAATTGTCTAAGCTTTTGTTCACCCAATTGCTCCGTATTGGAAACATGTGCAAACGAAAACTTTTCCTGCAGAAGTTGCAATAAAGGATGGACAGGTTCTAGATGCAATCAAGGTAGCCGGTTTCAGGTCACTTGAGTCACTCAGCTGATCAATGAATAATACCATTGCTATGCAATACTTTGTTTCCATGGTAACGTATGTAATAGGTATTTTCCCAAATATATTCTATCATGCCTTTTAGTCATCGATCATTTTTTTCAGAAACTGTCACTGTCACTTTTTTGCATTGCTGCAAGCGTTAGTAACGAAACTAAAATAATATTCAAAAATGCTATTTTTCAAATATTAGGACATGATGCCATGGTATTTATGACACATAATAATATTTTTTTGCTAGGTATAAGTTTGTTATACCCCACGCAACAAGTTGCGTGAGGTATAATGTTTTTGACCCGTCCGTCAGTCAGTCGGTCATTGTGTCAGTCAGTTAGTCAGTCCGTCAGTCCTTTTTTTTTGTCAGCGCAACTCCTCATAAACTGCTGCACAGAATTTCGTCAAACTTTGCAGATATTTAGTACATCATGTGTAGATGTGCATAATACAAGGAAATTCCGATTCCTTTATTTTTTTCTGGGAATTTCGGCACTTTTCAACTTAGATTTTTGGCGAACAGTTTGTCAGCGCAACTCCTCTTAAACCGCTGCACAGAATTTGGTCAAACTTTGCAGATATTTAGTACACCATGTGAGATGTGCATAATACAAGGAAATTCCGATTCCTTTATTTTTTTCTGGGAATTTCGGCACTTTTCAACTTAGATTTTTGGCGAACAGTTTGTCAGCGCAACTCCTCTTAAACCGCTGCACAGAATTTGCTTAAACTTTGCAGATATTTAGTACACAGTGCGTAGATGTGCATATTACCAGGAAATTCCTATTCCTTATTTTTCTGGTAATTTCGGCACTTTTCAACTTAGATTTTGGCCATATCTTGAATATAAAAATGAACAGTTTGTCAGCGCAACTCCTCTTAAACCGCAGCACAGAATTTGGTCAAACTTTGCAGATATTTAGTTCACAGTGTGTAGATGTGTATATTACGAGGAAATTTCGATTCCTTTATTTTTCTGGGAATTTCGGCACTTTTCAACTTAGATTTTTGGCCATATCTTGAATATAGAGATAAACAGTTTGTTAATGCAACTCCTCTTAAACCGCTGCACAGAATTTGCTTAAACTTTGCAGATATTTAGTACACAGTGTGTAGATGTGCATATTACCAGGAAATTCCTATTCCATTATTTTTGCTTTAAGAGTTTTGCCCATTATTGAAGAAACTTTCCAGCTAGGAAATAAGGAAATCCACTGGAATCAGCTTTTGTAATGAAATTTTATGTGAAATATTTTATGACCTTAAAAGACCCCTGTTGATTTTGAGATCAAAATATTAATGAATAAAAACACACACAAAATCTTGGATAGTTCTTACCCCCCCCCCCTTCAAATTGGTGCTTTGCCTTAAATAATTTCATAAGTACAGTATATAAATAAATTCATATGACTACATCATAATTCTGTTTCCATCAATTACTTAAATGTGTAAATTGTCATGTGTTGCACATGGACTTACACTCATTAACACACATCGAAATCACTGAGGAATTTAAATAACAGTTTGTCAGCATACCTCCTGCACTGAATTTCCTGAAACTTTGTAGGTATTTCAGACATAATGTACAGATTTGTATATTACCAAGAAATTTTGATTCCATTATTTATCTAGAAACTTCAGCCCATTTAAATTTCTAACAAAGATTTGAATGTCCTTATATGCAAGAAGTTTTGATGTAATGATTTTTTGCAAGAAATGCCCCTTTTTGAATTATACTGTGTATTTGAAATGCACTGTGCCATTCATTACGTGTTGCATTGTCGAGTTTTGGGGGAGCGTATGTGAGCTTGCTCACTTTTTCTTTCATTATTAAATAAATTTAAAGCAAGCTTAGAAAATATAAGACAATGTGTGCGATGGCTCCTATTTATTTATGTAGGGTTGTATTTTACTCAATTGACCGTCAAGGCCCTTCGGCTTTCTGTTTTAATTTACTATGCACTCTTGATTTTAATACCTGTGCCATCAAAAAGAGTATTAGTAGCATAAATATACATGTAACAAAAGATTTTTTCTTTAGTAAATATTTAAAAAGAAATCAGTTTATTTATTTTAAATGATTGGACTCCCAATATTCATCATAATTCTCTTATCATCTTGTTATTATACAGCAAGATATTACCCTTCGTTATCTTCACTTTTTCATTTAGAGAAATAGATATAATCCTTATTAATTCATAAATCAAGATAGCTTACAACACTGTATTTCTAATCCAAAGCAGTCTTTGAACTTTTTCATGGTTCCTTTCTTGAGTTTGTTTTTGTTTTTTTTTTTTTTTTGTTTGGTTTTATTTTTATTATTATTATTATTATTTTTTTTATATTTACTTAAGAGAATATTTTTTTTAATTTTGCTACCGAATCATATGACTAACATCCAAAGTGTTTGCTAGTCAAGGATGGAGGCTCTTACATAATTACAATATAGTGCATTTTACATGGAATCTTACAATGGCAATATTTTTATTACATAAAAGGTATTAATATAGTCTATCATCGTTTTTTTGTAGGACTTTTTATCTTTTAAAATATTTTTATCAAGAACAACGAATCCATGTCTAGTTTTATTTATTGGAAACATCATCAGGTAGTGTAGAATTAACATTATTTTTGTGATAGTGTCTATTTTATCACAGAATTTTTTTTTTTTCAAAAAAAAAAATTGCAGTAAAAAAGTACTCAATGACTTACAATTTCCGTTGGACAGAATATATATTGTACACTTAACAAGTCTGAAAATGAAGCATGATTATCACTGTATTCAATGTCTAGTTGGTGGAAAATCTTTTACATACATTGTTATTCAATTGACTGTCTGTTGTATTCATTACAATTCTTTTATCAGTCATCAAATGTAGAAAACCCATCTTGCCAAATTCGGAAATATTACCCAGCGGAACTGAATTCATTTACAACACGACAATAAATATCAATTGTGAAGAGGGTTACTATCTTCAAGGATCCTCCTTTGCAATATGTGGAACTAATGGTTCATTTACATTTGAACACAACCCTTCATGTCATAGTAAGTATTATGCAACTCATATTTCATTTTTGTTTAAAATTCTTCATGATTGTGTTATCTATTAACTGATTTTTACCGTACATTTTAACCAACATTTGAAGTAATACGTCTAGGATTGATGTGCATCTCATTGAGAGACATAACAACTTTTTGGAATATTACATTGCAATCTTCTACCATTGCTTTGATATAAAATCAACAATATTGTCACAAGCAATACCATTAATGCCTGTTTTGATATTATATTTTACAGAGTATGTAGAAATTAAAAAATAGTACCAATACATTATATTATTCGTGGGGTTTCCCTATGTGATACTTCATTTCATTTTGTGAAAGCATTGTTAATCATGTCCATTTCAATGAATATATTAAAGGTTTTAACGATATATGATACAGATTTTATTTTAATTGAAGCTTTTGTACTTTTCCGCATTAAAGATAACAATTTTTATATAATCTTTTTACATAAGTCATTCCTACTTCAAATATATAGCACATTTAATTATTCCTGTAAATTACCGATGTTTAGAATAAAGCTGTTCATCTGAAACCTTTATCAAAGTCAAAGCAATAATTAAGCTTCATTTCAATATATAGGATTCAACAATTTCTCAGAAACTAGGCACTGGAGCTTCAGCAAGATTTAAACAATGACAGCTGTCATATCTGTCATATTTTTCACAGCTTTGCCATTTACTTTAATGAAAAATAAGCCTCTTTAAATAACAAAAAATATTATAAGTTAATTATTTTATATATACTATCATAGTTGTCATAATTTTCAAATACTATTTCAGGACATTTAAGGAGGTGAAGGACCTTGGGCTTAAAAAAATTCCGTCATTCAATTTTTTTCATATTTTGTATATTTCTAATTAAGTATGTCCCGCATATCTTAAAGCAGTTAAATCATTAGGTTTCTTACCTTATTTTAGAGATATTGATTGACAAATACTATGCCTTACAGTATCTACAGTGTAAGTGGAGTTTTAATTCTCCATGTTTTCGGGTCCATTACTCCGTCCACAATTGGATTTTTTAAGCATACATAAAAGATATTTAAGGGGACATGTGTCTTTTAAAATATTTCAGTGTATGGATAGGGTTTAAAATTCGAAAAAGCAAATTTCTTCTGTCTCACTGCATCTGGATAGGGAAAATTACGTACTTTTTAAAGACAACTAAAACAACCAAAAAAATAAATTTGCAAAAAATTATATCATTCAATATTTCTAAATTTACGTTGAAATGCAAGTCCTTCGCATTATTGATTAACTGTAAAAATTTCAAATGGTGAAGCTGACCTCAATATTGCACAGGACATCGTTAAAGAAGACATAAGCATGACAAAAAGGTGTCATGTTTACATTTCTTGAGTACGGGAAAAACCAACTATGACGTCACACGTAAGCTGAATAAGCGAAATAAGGTATAACGTGACCTACATAAGATTTCCGTCACCAGCCTTGCAAAAATAATTATTGTGTTCCCCGTTTCTCAAAATATTTCATCATATACTGATTATGACCTATTTTTACATAACAGTACCGCCCCTATATTCACCGAGTCTGATTTTGCTGTACTAACAGATCGTGTATGACGTCACCGACGTGTTGGACGCGCAGTGTAGAGAAATAGAGGAGTGGATCAATCTATTTCATAATTTGAAAATGTTTACAAGAATGTTATTTTTTCAATTTTTCTATATAGGTTGGTAATTAAAGTAAAAACAAATTGTCAAAAATTTATACAAGAACTTATGGATTACATGTTTTGCACTTATATAAACAGAGACTATGACGTAGTTAAACAGTCATGTGACCATGTGTCCTTCATCCCCTTAAGTAAAAGAGTGTGAAGTTTCTGTTTTTCTATCAAATTCTTCGTCTGTTGTTTAAAACTTTCAATTTTTCCTACACAACCAACAAGCCAGGTTCAACCAACACACGGTCCAGCAAATGCTCTATCAAGCCTATATCTTAACTTGTCACTGTTAACTGCTTTAGAGGAGAAATTTCTAACGTACTGTGCAATATTTTTATAGTGATTTCAATCAGATATTTATTCTCAAAAATTCCAGAGAACTTTTAGAAAATTTAAACACACTAAATTTTTTAAGAGTCAGTAACATCCAAACGTATAACGTTCGCTGCACTTTATGCAACCATTACTTACGATAAATTAAAAAAAAAAAATAGGCTTTTTGATACAGAAGGGAACTGCTACGTCAATAAAAAGGTAACTTGGAAATTTTCATATCTTGTGATTGCACGATCACTTGCAGTGACATTCAACTCCATTGGTATTTTTCGGCGACGTTAAACAGTCTTTTCCACTCCGAATTCGACCCGATATATCCTAGTGAACTAAGATAAAAAGATACAACAGATTACCACAGATTCTGCCACAACTGTTGCATATTTGGGTATTAAAACACAGGGCTCGGGGTAGTTGTGACCGATTGAAAGGTGATGTTTACTCGTTGTAGGCGCCTGATTCCACCCCTGAAATTTTTGGGGGTCCATGTTTTACGTTCTGTTTACAATTTTTTTTCATTGTTTGTAGATTTTTTAAGATCGATTTATGTTCGTTATTTTCATATATCAGTCTTAATGCGACCAAATGATAGATTATTTCATAGCATTTGTATTCAAGGTCATTAAAATGATTGCCTCTGAAAATCGCTAGCATCCTCTCAATATAGATTTCAAGGTATTTATCACAGTATGTTTAAATAAAGTAATTTTTTGTGTTACTTATTACAAGGAAATGAGTTTTTGGAGGTTCAATTTTATTGAAGAAGCTATTGTCAATGATGTCAAAACGCCTGGTCTATAGTTTTTGTGAGTAATAGATGTATGATGTGTATAAAAAGTTTGTGAAACATAAATGTATGAAGTATAGAAAAGTGATTCTTTTTTATGTTACTGATTTGGGGAAAAAATTGTGATTTCAAATTTTATTTAAATTCTCTTAAGTTATTAAAAATCCTCATTCGAACAATACATCTACTGAGTGAGTACTAAAGCTTCTCCTTCACAACTGTTATTATTATTGGGGTTTAAGACAAAGGCTTTGCTAAATGCACTTTCAAAATTATTCTGAAGGACCTTTTTTACTTAGCTTACTTCGGCTTCCTTGAGTTTAATATTCAAAGCAACAATGCCTTGGCTTCTAATCTCTTGTAAACAAACGTGGAGTCATATAATATATTTGGAGTTTTGAAAGAAAAAATAATGCAGCTGTGTTTATATTTGTATTGCAGGGATTGAGTGTCACGTTCCTGATATTAAAAAAAATGACATGCTCTTAATAAATGAGACAAGAAAAGCAGTATTCTATGGTGAATCTATTTCGTTTACTTGTGAAACGGGATTCAAGATTAACGGAACATCAGTTAGTATTTGTGGATTGAACGGCACATTTGATCAAATTATACCTCACTGTTCACGTACGTATGCAGTTGCAGTCGCTGTAAGAAAAGTAAAAACTCTTTGTGATATATTATGGTCTAGGAAAACGAATGTGTAAATATATGTGTTAATTTCTAGAATTTAGGTTTTTAAAATAATTTTTTTATGAAGAATTGAAAGAAAAAATCAAAAGTTTTGTATGTTTTTCTCTCATTAATTTAATAAGAAGGAAGGTAGAAAACAAGATCAAGATCATAATATTAAGGTCATATATTGCGATTTTAGGTCACCTGAGTAACTCAGGTGACCTATTGCTATCCGTTTTCGTCCGTCGGCGTGCGTCGTGTGTTAACATTTCAACATTTTTAGCTTCTTCTCTGAAACCGCTCAACCAATTTCAACCAAATTTGGCATACAACATCTATGGGTGAAGGGACAAAAATTGTGATTTTCATGGTCCCTGCCCCCCTGGGGCCTTGGGGGGTGGGGCTAAAACCACCAAAAATAATGCAATCTTTAAAAATCTTCTTCTTTACTCCTGGACATCAAGAAGTCAAATTGTTGGCATGATTGTAATGAGCATTGAACCCTCTACCAAACTTGTGAAATTCATGGCCCCAGGGTCTGGGGTATTGGTGCTAGGGCGGGGCTATATAGATCATATAGTGAAAGTGCATTATTTCTTTGAAAATGTTCTTCTCTGCTCCTGGGTATTAAATAAAGTAACTAAGTACATAGTTATGATGAGCAAGAGTGCCTCTCCCAAAATTGTGAATTTCATGGCCCCAGGGTCAGGGGTACTGTTGTTAGGATGGGGCTCTATTGACTTTATAGTGAAAATGCATTGATTCTTTGAAAATCTTCTTCTCAGCTCCTGAGTATTAAACAAACTGAGTACAAAGTTATAATGTGCAAGGATGCCTCTTCCAGAATTCGGAATTTCATGGCCCCTGGGTCAGGGGTTCTGGTGTTAGGGTGGGGCTCTATTGATTATATTGTGACAATGCATTGGTTTTTTTGAAAATCTTCTTCTCTGATACTGGAGATTATTTAAACAAACTAAGTGCATGATTATGATAGGCAAGGATGTCTCTTCAAAACTTTTGAAATATATGGCCTCAGGTTTGGGGGTTCTTGTGGAGGGGGGGGGGTCTATTGATTATATAGTGAAAAAGCATTAATTCTATTAATTAATCATTAGTTAATCCTGTCTGCTCCTTAGTGTTGAGCTGATAAATAAATTGCTTAGCTATGATGAAAAAGGGAACTTCAAACAGAAATTTTTAAATCTTGTGGTCCTAGGGTCAGCGGTTCTGGCATAACGGGGGGGGGGGGGGGGGGGGCTTTTGATTATATAGTAGAAAAGTGTTAATTCTTTGAAGTCCATAGTTATGATGATGATGAGGGTAACTCTTCCAAATTAGTAAATTTCTTAACCCTGGGTCTTGGGTTCTGGTGTTAGGGTAAGGCTTTGTTGAATCTGTAGTGAAAATGCATTGTACCTGTGAAATTCTTCTCTGCTTCTGGGCATATCGGAAGCAAACTGAGTAAAAGTTTTAATGTTATAAGTAAGGGTATTTTTACCAGATTTTTTAACATCTGGACCATTTGGTTAAGCATTCTTGTCCTGGACAGGGCTCTATTAATTTGTATTCTACTGAGAGGAGTTATTCCCCTTTTCCATTCACCTTTGTTAATTAATCACTGTAAATAATGTATTTGAAAGGTTAATAGAATAAGATAATTATGCAAGAATTTTTATTGTATAATTCAGAAAGTTTTCTCTTAGTTTAAATAATCAGGTAGACCTGTAAGTAAAAGATAAATAAAAATGAGACAAAAATAACTTATCTTATTAAAAGTTCTTCAAAGACCATAAGAGAGGTCAATGTTAGAGGTATTAATATGGGTTTAAAAATAGTACAGAAGCACTAATAGTTTGTTAATAGTTTGCATAGTGATAGTGTTAAGTAGGGGACAGATTAGAACTTAATGTATGAGTGGATACTGAATACTAGACTAATTATTTTGTTGATCCTGATCTTCTTGCTTTAGGGCAACAAAGCTTCATCTATCAGTGTATTTCTAAGTCGTTGTATTATACTCAGGTGACCGTTAAGGCCCTTGGGCCTCTTGTTTAATAAGTTCAGACTAACTAAAATTAAAAAGATTTTTCTATTTGTTTTATTACTTTATATAAAGATATGACTTTCCTGTAAATTACATAATTTATATCAATCACGTTTCAAAGACATTAAAAATTTAAAACAATAACCGATTTATTTACCGACTCCTCATTTAAATAACAGACACAGTTTAAAGTCAATTTTACTAAGGAAACAAGAGGTTAAGTTCGAAATCGGTGAAAATTTTAATTTGAACGTAAATAACATATATCACGTTTATCTATAATCGGTCTCTTATTTTATCTTTTAGCTCAGATACGCCATATATAGCTTGAATAAAACTCATAAGCTAAATATATGTTTCTATTAAACTTTATGCACTCTGTAGGAAGTTTCGTTTTCCCCAAGATAAATGTTTCAATAAAATCATCCACACACTTTATAGTTGTGTTCGAATCACGGTCCCGACTGACCTTAGTCGATAAAAAAAGGTAGCAACTGTACCTTCGCCAAGCGCTCGGCACTTGACTGAAAGTTGCGGGTCTTTCGGATGAGACCTTAAAAACCGAGGCCCCTTGTCACGGTAGGCGTTGTCACTACCAAATGGTCCTATAAGTGCAATGGCATGATGACAATTTTTGTGGATTGCTTAAATTTTACTGGTTCGTGGGGACGTTATTTCGTGTATTTAATCATCTCTACACAAGGAAATATGACTTGAATCCCATGAATATTAATTCGCGGAGGCTGTAAATTTTGTGGATAAGAATACCTACGAATTCCATGAATAATGCCTCCACGAAATCTAATCATTCCACAGTACTCGTGGGTTGTTTGTGCATCTATCGAACTAGGTTGCAAAACTGTCGTGCATCTTCTCCCTTATAACTCAACGAAACACGTACTGCAATTTTTTTTAATGCTACAGACTTATTTTGTCACTCCAAAAGCACAACATACTTTCTTTATTTTTACATCCACTTTACAAAAAACTGCTATTTTTTTCTCTACTTCCTTTGCGGCTTGTACGAGTTTCGTCTACGCAAAACGCAATGGACTTGTGATTGAAAAACCGTACTGCTGGTTTTGATTTAGGTTTTTAACAACAATCTCAGTCGAAATCCCTATGGAAAAAAGCTATAAATACGTGAGGGCCCTCCACACCCCGGACTTGTGACGTATATCGAGAAATATTCTTTTACTTCCGTTTTTTATAGTTTTGCACTGACGATTTCCCTGGCACCGCCTGTAAGAGAGTCTTATAAACGCTTTAGAGATGATGGTTTTGTCAAAGGAAAATTACGGAGTAAACTGAGAGCGACACCCTAATTATAAACAATGAACACATGGCATGATCTCGGTGTGACTGAAAGAAAAGGCCCCGATTTTTTCAATAAATGAACAGCAAACTTTTGAGTTTTGTAGTATAATAATAAAACGTAAATAACAGGTTTATCTACGAGAAAAAGTTTTAGTTTATTTACTTTCAGGCTAATCGTTCTGTTGCGATATCGTCAACAAAGTTTGTTGTAAAAGTTGACATGATTTGTGCGCTTCAATAATACCGTAATAATCTCATTGTGTGTTTATAAATACTGATAAATAATGTGCATTTTAGAGGTCCTGTTCAGTTGCCAATAACTAGTTACTTGAGTATCATGACGTATGCGGATACTTAATAAAGTTTTTGAGTTCTGGGTAACAGGAAAGATAACTCTAAAAAGGAACTTTGATACCAAAGATTTTGAAAATAATTTTTCGAAATCAATAAGTTTGATTTTCATTTAATTTTTTGTTGTAATTTAACTCTTTAATATTTCTTTTATACTATTGGGAGTCTTCCCTAATTTTTTCCCCATGTATCTTAGAGAAAATAAGGTATATTTATTTTTTTAATATATTTTTATTAATTTCTTTTAAAAATATGTCGACTGATAAAATTAAGTTTTTGTCGTTTTTTTCTGACCTTAATAATATAAGCCAGGGAAAAAAATTGATGCGCTTCTTATCAAAACGCGGTGGGGAAAAATTCCTAAAACAAATGAATTTAAATTTTCAAAAAAATCAGTATAAATTAAATTTCAATTCCTGGCGAGATTTTGAAGGTTGATATGCTTGTTAATAGTATTGCTCATTAATATGAGAACAAAAGCTGGGGTGCGTGGAGGACCCTTAAAAAGGTTACACCATGCACAAACAATTTTTGAAACGAGGCAAGCTATTGACAAATAAATATGAAACAAGTATATGAACTGTCTTGTTTAAAGTCAACATTATGCAAATGACCTTGAAAGTAAAAAAAATCAATCTATAATTCGAATGTTGACTGGTGTTTAATTTAATACAAATTGTTACTCCCTTATTTCCACTATGAAATTTTCTATGTTTTCTCAGTTTACCCGATCATGAGTAGTAGCACGCCGAGGATGTGACCGGTCGACAGGGATGCTTACTCCTTTCTCAGTGGCACCTGACCCCATCTCTGATGTTTTAGAAGTCCGTGTTTGCGCTGCTCCCGATTTTGTATTGTTTCAATGGACTTTTGAGATTAATTACTGTTCTTTATCGTCATATTTTTTTAAACCAAGTGATTTTCACAAGATTGACTAAACCTGAGATGAGAAACACGTGGAATTACCGTTTGATATAAATTGTTTCATGTTCTCAATTGCAGTTGAGCCTTTGCGATTCCCTCGGGTATATGTCATGTACTTCGCTGTGTGAATAGGCTAAGTGTTGTATTTTTTTAAGTTTAATTTCTTGATCACCCAGAGTCAGATATAATTCTTTTCTTTTTTGGACTACCATGTTTATCGTCCTTCGTGCGATTTGTTTACTAAGCTACTTCATATGCAAAATCTGTTTATTCTCTCCATTTTTTTTTTCGTGACCCAACAAAAATTTATTTCTAGAAAAGAATAAATAAATATTTTTTTTAAGTGAATATTTACTACAGAATATTATTTTTCATCAAGCGAATTTAAAAAGAAATTGTCGTGATAATTGTAACCTTACTTCATTTTGTAATAAAGGCATCAAATTAACATTTTTAAAGATTAAAGACAGATCGCATCAACAATGAAAAATATATTTATATCAGTACTTAAATTAGAAAATTTAGTTTTACATTAAACTTTTTCTTTTATTTTCTTTTTCAGGCATTCAGTGTCACGTCCCTGAAATCTTTAGGCAAAATAAACTAATTGTAAACGAGACAAGGAAGTCTTTATTTTACGGAGAAACTATTGAAGTTGCGTGTGAAAAGGGGTATAACATTAACGGGACAACAGTCTCTTCCTGTGAATTGGATGGTCATTTTGATATTCAACTTCCTCCTGTTTGTATAAGTATGTATTATTTTACAAATTTAAATGAGAAATTAACAAGTTTTGTTCTTTTTCTATCAAAATAGCGGAAATTGAGAAATAAAATAGCAGATACTACAGATGAAAAAAAAAGTGAGTGACACCTCAATCTAAATACACTAGACAAAATTGCAAACGCACCACCAAAGAAAATTTATATTTTACTTTTCAAAACTTGTTTTTGATGTATTTGATATATAATTATGGTACTTAAAGAGGTTCGTTCCTGAGCTTTTGAGCAGATTTTTGTTTTGCCCTTTATTTAAAAAATTCTGCTTAATGTTTTAGTTACTACAATAAATTTGGATTCTACAATGCATACAAGTATTAGACTATATTCAATTAAAACCCCATGATTAAATTCCATACCAAAAGGATTGAGGAACTATATTTTGTGGGGAAGGTTTTTTTTCAAGAAGAAAATGATCAATTTTTCTCTTTCGAAGTATTTACAGTATTGTTAAGTTTGGATTCCTATTTTTCTATGCAGCCTGCACACAGAGTTATTTTGTGCAGTGAACTATTTTATGCTGTCCTAAATTATTTATTAAATTAACTTTTATGAATTCTATCATCATATTTGACAAATATAGCAAATATATTGTAAAAGTGCAGAAAAATAGCCCCAATTTAAGCTTGAAATTAACACTTTATTAGTAATATCTAAAAGTTAACATCACAGACCCCCACTTTTCATTTCCCTTTCTGAATATGTAAGATAATTTTAACCAATCAGCTTAAATTCAGTAAAATGACATTACTTTCAAATTATTTCATTGGTTGTTAAATTTTTAATCCCAGAAAAAATGACATTTTTGAAGTGCAGAAAGGTCAATCAAATGACCATGCAAAGTAATTTGAAAACTATTTTGTGGTCACAAATTTAATGTGTTTATTCAAGATGAAATAAGACTGTGATTGTTCCCATAATTTATTAGAATAAAAAATATTGGAGGAAAAATTGATTTATGTGTTAGACGTGCAAAAAGATCATATTAATAGCTCCTTAGCGCTAGATTGAAAAAGATGGCACATTAGATACACTAGTACCGAATTAGACAATTATTAAATTCACAAATAAATTAAAAAGTGGCGCGTTAGCAATTTTGTCCAGTTAATATATATATATATATATATATATATATATATATATATATATATATATATATATATATATATATATATATATATATATATATATATATATATATATCACATTCTTGCAGGGGTTCAATGTGTTGTTCAGGAAGTATTGCAAAGTTTTTCCAAAGTACCCAATGAAATATATGGAGATAACGAACAGTATTCAAGTCCATTAATCAATACAAAATAGGAGCAGAGCAAACACGGACCTCCAAACATCAGAGGTGGGATCAGGTGCCATGGAGGAGTGAGCATCCCCTGCCGACCGGTCACACCCGCCGTGTGCTCCTTGTCATGATCGGGAAATAACGGGAAAATCCGTCGAAAATTCAGTGTGTAAATAATGGCCTTACAATTAGTGTGAAAAACGTCAGTCAGCATTTGACTCAATGATAAATTGTATTTGCTGACAAGGTCATTGTATCGACCATAGAACTTACGAAATGATGACTTTAAACGAGACAGCTGATATTCTTCTTTCATCAACTTATTTGTCAATAATTTACCTCGTTTTAGAAATTGTACATACGTAGAGCATGCTCTTGCGTATCGAATCAACTGAGAGATATATACCCCGTATGCAGGTGATGAAGGTATATTGCTGCATAAGTAAGGGAAGTTGACGATTGAAAAGTTAAAGTCATCACGTTTATCATAAAGCTTGGTTGTTAGATTACCATTAACGTCTTTTTCAAGTAAAATATCCAAATATGAAACAGATGTGTCAGACTCTGTGGTATCTTTTATCTCAAGTTCACAAGGATATATCGTATCGACATAAGAATGGAAATAGCCATTGTTAATTGACAATACGTCGTCGATATATCTAAATGTCGAGTTGAAGGCCACAGCAAGTGTTTTCTTCTTTTCACGTACAAGATTTTGGACAAATTCTGCTTCATATGAATACAAAAAAGGTCTGCTAATAACGGGGCGCAATTGGTACCCATGGGAATTCCAATAGATTGTTGGAAGATCTGGTCTCCAAAAACCACATAGATATTGTCAATCAGAAACTCAAGCATCTTTTTAATGTCAACTTCAGAGTACTTGTGTGAACAATCAGAATGTTTTTTAACAAAATAATTTAGCAAATGACCAATGACAAGGTAAGTATATTTACGAGTTCCATTTTTCTTGAAAAAGCAGCTGTCAATGATATCAAAAAGCCTGTACTTTAATTTATCGTGGGGAATGGTTGTGTACAAAGTTGAAAAGTCGTAAGTTTTTAAGCTGTTGATTTTGGTAAAATCTTGTGATTTCAAATTTTCCAAAAGTTCCTTGGAATTTTTAAGTATCCACATCTGATTTACACCACTTCTCGAATATATTGTTGCACAGTACTCTTGAAGTTTCTCCTTCACCACTGTTAATATCTTAGTGAGAAGTAAAAATAGAGGCTTGGTTGAACATTTACTGGAACCCGCTATGTATCTTTGTTTGTAAGGATTTTTATGAAGTTTCGGAATCCAATATAAATATGGTAATTCAAATTCATTTTGGTTGTTTGGAATATTAAAAATACCTTCAATATTATCATTACTTTTTCTTGTACGGATGGTTTTTTCATATCGCTCAATATCACTGCAATGTGCGATTATGGCAATATATGGAGAGTTCGAAACTGGCCAGAATGCAATCGTATGTTCCATTTAAATTATGGACTGAAGATAAACTTTCATATTAAATTTAAAATACTTTCCCGTTTATATAAAAATCACTATTTCTATCTCTAGGTATAACATGCCGTTTACCCACAGATTTCCAAAATAGAAATATTATCCTATCACCAAATTTGACGGCGTATGATTACAATACTACATTCAAAATATCATGCTTAAAAGGTTATCGTTTAATGGGAGAAAAATACAAAACTTGTCAATATGATGGAAGTCTTCAGCTGCCGACATGTGAAGGTAGGTACTTAGAAAAGGTGATGTTGAAATATAATAAAGAACTCGATTCTAGACTACAAGCACACTTAATTAGAAAAGGGTCTTGAAAGACATAATGAACTGCAAAACATGACAAGAAAATAAAATATAATGAAAGGGTCTACTTTAATGTATCTCATTTGCATTTTTCGAATATTGGCCAAGTCAATTGCTTTGGACAATTAATGCTGTTATATATGTCTGATGAATCATACTTTGACTCATACTTGATAATAAGGTTGTTTACAATTAGAGCTGGCACAATTTTCAAGCAAAAAAGAAACCAACAAGATATGGGTCACAAGGATTTGCAGTATAATTCTTTTTGCAAAATGTTTTTTTTATGCTAAATAAGGCATATCTGATCGGGAGGGGAGGGAACATGGGTACAATTGTAATAAGTTTCATGAGGGCATTTTTAGATCGGTCATATGAACTTGGAAAAGTCGCCTTAACTTATTAGGGTCAAAATGGAAGAAAGCCACAAGTCCTCAGATTTTTTAACTATGTATTTTACTACTGAACAAAGTTCTTAAAGTACGCATAGCTATAGCCATGTTTCTCTGATATTCTAAGTAATATCATTATATACATAGTGCATGTTTTGAGGCTCACTCCTCCATGGCAGCTGATCCCACCTCTAAATTTTGAGGTTCATGTTTGCTCTGCTCCAAATTTGTACCATTTTCATTGGACTTTCGAGATTGAATACTGTTCGTTATCTTAATATTTTATGAAAACCAGGTCAACTGACGCATTACCCTGAAAAACATATGCATGCACTGTTTATTGTATTAAATTAAATGTCTTTTTAAACTTCAATATAACTTATTATGTAACTTCACTGCTCAATGGCCCTGAATGACTAGCAGACTTTCTCAAGCATAGGTGACTTCTTTATACAGACTGTATGTGTTTAAAATTCTAGAATGAACCGTTAAACAACATAAGATTTTCTGTACGTTTAAATACCGCCTTTTTACCTATATATTTAAAAAAAGTACCCGTTTTTCAATTATTTTTACCTCTCGGACACTAAAACAACAGTTTGGTTATTTAGAATTTTGCAGACATTCTAGTTACTGCCTTATTTTATTGGAGAGAGATAAGTGAGGACATGCGTGCTTTTAGGTAGCATTCTTAATGTTATATGTTGAAATTTAATTCCGATTCACTTGAAAGCTTCATGATTAAGAAGACAGTCATATTGCGCAATTTATATGTTCTTTGATTATTTATAACATCTATATCATAATTAGTTACGTGTATACTTATGATGAAAAATACTTGGAATTTTGAGTTTCTCAAATAAACAGTCAAGCTACTAAAAGATGAAATCGTCTGGATTGATTGTGAAAGTTAATTTTTTAAATTAAGTTTAAAATAAAGGGGTGGCTGAGATATATTTTACGTCAACGAGATGTTTCTGAAGTATAAATTTTCAAATCACAGTTACTGAGAACCCTCATTTTTATTTCTTTCACTAAATTATATTTGAATAATAAAATCTCTATAGTGGCTGCAACGTTATTATTGACAAACCAATCGTGTAGAATCGTGCATTTGCGTTAGAAATCGTGATCGTTCGTGTAACGTGTAGAATCTTGTGCGTGAAGGATCATTCGTGTAACATGGTTAATCGTGCAGAATCTTTCGTGAAACGTGATCGTTCGTGTATTTTGTCAACAATAACGTTGCAGCCATTGTAACAGAAAATCTATCTGTTTAATTATTCTTTGTGTGATTTTTTTTTTAATTTTAGTTATTGCAAAGATATTTGTATAGGATTCAAATATTCTATTTGGAAGTAATTAAAATTAAAATTAAATACATTTAATCACATTGTTATTTGATAGGCTGGTTATCATGCAATAAATGCTTGTTTTAAATATTTCGACTACATTAAACACCTGTATTGACATGCTGAAGTTGTATGATTGTATGATTGTAACATATTGGTTTCAGTGGAGAGACAATCAACGTCATTAACTTCCGATGGTGTAATAGCTGGAGGTGTAGTTGGTGCAATATTCTTTGTTACAATTCCATTCATCATCATTGTCATCATAGTTTGGAGGTAAGAGAAACCAGATTTTAATATATATATATTAAGAATTAAATATCAAATGACCATTTAGAAATATGAAATGCACTGATGACTTATCAACAGCAGCCTGCTCAATAAGGAATATCATTATCTTTATACAGTGAAAGATGATGCTTTATGTATTGAGATGTAAAACAGCTGCTTTTGATTTGTTAATGTTTCCACTTCTATAGTTGTTTTTGAAGCATTAATTTGTTTAAACACTGACAAGATAGTAAACAACATTTATTTATAAAGTCATCTTCTTCCGGAAATTGAATAGCCAAAAAAAAAAAAATAGATTGAGCAATATGATTATAAAAAAGTCACTTTTAATAACTCGGCACATTTTCTCTGCTAGAAATGAAAAAGTGGGACATTAAATCAGATAAATTTCAGTTAGAAAAATGTTGTTAATTTATTATCAACTGAAGACATAAAAATATCATTTGTATGAATTGTATTAGGAAGTTAATACGCTGATATAGAATTTTTGCATATAATATTAATGAAACAGAAGACGAGCTGGAAAACCCGATTATACTAGAAACACTGAAACCCATTCCCTTAGTAGTCTTAATTCTCTGGGTCTAAAAGATGCCATTGGAATGCAGCAGAAAGACGCACCAAAATCAAGTAACTAATTTCTCGTCTCTTTTTTTAATCAAAAGATAAATAAAACTATATAAATCGAATTGAAAAATATAAAACAAACCTTTAAAATATTTTTAAGATGCAGTAGGTGAGACATCTACCTATTACAACCTTAATAGCACAGATGCAGAAAAGGCGAGGACGGCACGACATGATGTATATTATGAATTCTCGCCAATTTTAGCGCCATCAGCAACATCTGTTAAAGTTACAGAGTTTAAGGATTATGTGGAAAACAAAAGGAGACAAAAAGAATGTTTCAACGAAGAATTTAAGGTATCTTTTGTAAAATATTACGTGCATTATCGATATTTGATGTAAACATTGGTAAAGTCGATGGTTCAGAATTATGACTAGCTGAATTCCTTTTTTTTTTTGAAAAAGATTGCTCAAGTTCAGAATGCTTTTTTTCTTATCAATTTCAGAGATTTTTCACAGGACTTCAGTTTCCTACCACTGCAGCTACAACTCCAGGAAACAGAGCAAAGAACAAATATAAAAACATTTATCCCTGTATGAACGCTTCTTCAAGCATATCAGAATATGTGATTACATGTGTATCTTTGAAAAAAATACTACATGTGCAAAGATATTTATTAACTAACCTTTTTTATCGTTTTCCTCCAGATGATGACACAAGAGTAAAATTAAAAACTGACCAAGAGCATTTTAAGTCGGACTTCATTAACGCTTCCATAATACACGTAGGTATCTCTTTTTCTTTCCCTTCCCCGCCTCTCTCTCTCTCTCTCTCTCTGTGTGTGTGTGCTTGTGTATATGTGTGTGCGCATGTATGTGTTTGTTTTGAATTTAGTGTAATATCAAAGTTTGTTTTTTAAGGGATATGGAAACGTTAAGTCCTACATTGCAGCTCAAGGTATTTATATGAAGGAGAATGCATTCAATTATTTTATGATTGAAACAAAAATATCATGCTATATATCAAGATTTTAATATATTTAGAAAACTTAAACCCTGTAATAACCATTTGGTATTCTGTTTATATAGGACCATTAGTTGATACAATTGGGGATTTTTGGTGGATGGTTTGGAATGAAAATTGTGAAAAAATTGTCATGCTTACTAATCTTATTGAGGATGACAAGGTAAGATTGTTTGTTTGTTTGTTTAACGCCAGTTTGAAAATTTTTCACTCATATATCGAGACGCTACCACTTACCGGTGGAGGGCTGCAAATTTAGACCTATACTCGTGACTTACGGTCTTAGAGCAGTGAGGGATCTTTTTCGTGCCAGCACCTACTGCATCACGGGACCTCAGTTTATACAGTCTCATTCGAAGGACAAGACTCTACGTCCCGAAGTAGGATTCGAACCCGCGACGTAATCTTCATGTTTATGCATTTATTCTTTTTTTAATCCTTCAATTTTTATATAATTTATCAGTTTAAATAGCAAATGTTTTTAAAAAGCATTGATGCTCCATGCATGGCCATTGAAAAGTGTTTATAAATTATGATCACGAGTAGTTTCATAATTGAACAAAGGTTATAATGATATCAAATTTACATTTTTCACAAATTAAAAGTTATCTTTGCATTATATTGCTTTATACATAAATACAGAGAACTTACGGTGGGTTTGACCGGTCGACATGGGTAGCGTATTTCTTCCAGATGCTTGATTTTTCCTCTGATATTTCTAGGGGCCCGTTTTTTCCCTTCTGACGACATGTCTTGGGTTTAAAAAATTGATCACTATTCGTCATTTTCATTTTAAACATATTAATGCAGGAATTATTGACTATAAAAATATAAAATTGTGCTCGAATCATGCTCTTTTTTTCTCATTATCTAGGTCAAATGCATCCAGTACTGGCCAGAAAAGAATAAAATGTCTGCAAAAAATCTTAATATAGAAGTGGTAGATGTTGAAAACTTTGCAGACTTTACTATTCGAACATTCCTTTTAAGAAAAGTAAGTTAATTTTTTTTGCGTGTGTTTTTGCAAATGTTTCGCTTATTTTGACCAACACCACCCCCAAACAAAAGAAACAATAACCGTGAAATACAAACCTCTAAGAAAAATTGAGCATTTGTACGTTTGGTGTATTAAAATTAAGTGAAGGTGGATTTAAATCGTCATGTGAGAGGTATGAATGACCGACAATATGGTTTCAAAGCACTCTTGGGGCGGAATCTGTATGCACTACTAATGGTATTGAATCATTCATGATTGCCCCTGCACAGGACTTCCGTGTTAACGACATTCTGGCAAGACAATTCCGTTCAGCTTTTTCATGCATAGTAACAATAAGCCTTTTATTAAATCTCTTTCAAATTTTACAACTATAATATTCCCGGGACAAGTACAAGAACTGTTCGTAATAGACTTTTGGAAGCAAAAAATGCGTGTAGTCCTTGAGGTAGGTCATAGAACTTTACTGTACATTGAACAACCTACATCCTATTATAAATCATATATGGTACCAATTTTGATGGACCAGATCCGCATTTCGACAATTGTGAGGGAAATATAAGAGGAAGTTGATATTGGGAGAAACTGTTCATCAATATTTCTTGCCTTTCATCCAGAACAAGTTATAGTTACACTATAGATATTAATTGGTTAGCGGTAAATACACTCACAGTTTTTCATTCACGAGGGGCGGAGTCCCGAGTGGATAAAAACAGTGAGGTATTTACCGCTGACCAATTAATATCTATTGTGTAAGTAACTTGTACCAGAGGACCAATGAGAGAAAAGCGAGTTGATAATTAGCACCGCCTACTACGAGGTGTCAAGCCACGGTCCGGAGTCTGTATAAATAGCTGTCTCCATCTGCAAGGATCATACTTAACTGCGGCACTGCACTGCAAGTTGTTGATAAAAAATTCGGAATTGGTACGTGTGAAGATATTGTACCTTTGAAATGTTGAAGACGCAGAAAACATGATTTTTGTCACGTACAGGTATAGGGGTAGCGATTGTAGGCTTTTATATTCAAGCTGTTAACTCTGAAAGAAAATTTATCTTTTTAGATCTTTTTTTTTTTTTTTTTTTTTTTTTTTTTTTTTTTGAAAAAGGGGAGATGGGTATGGGAAACATCGGCATTGAACTTTTTCTTTATGACAATTGGCGTACTGAAAAAAATGAAATGATTTGTGACATTTTAATGAAAGTTTGAAATGGTATTGGTAAAAAAAAAGCGCGGGGACTTCTGATGTGAAATTGCTATATGTATTTGGAGACGGGAAAGAGAATGACGAGAATTCGAGATAGGACGTATCATTTACTGATTAAGGATACGCGGAGAAAACATACAGAACCATTTATGAAACGAACATCGACAAGCTGATGTTAGTATTTTTGAAAATAAAAATGTTGACTTATTTATTCATTCATCAGCCATTGCCAAGGTCTTAGAATTGACATATCATTCATTAATCAGTCAAGGTCTTGACACAGTATGGCTTGATGCCAAAAAAGAGGGCGTGGCTAAAAAAAATGTGATTCTTCTGGCAAATACACCACAGCAACATCAAAGCAAAATCTAAATTTACCACCAGTCCTATGGTACAATATTACTTACAACATAATGTTACAATATAACGTGGTGCAACACGTCGTCGCAAACCAGGCAAAAATGTACGATCCTTTTCCATTTTTTTTTTGTCGAAATAGAAGAGAATATTTCGTAGCTTAGTAAAATATTGACAAATGCGAGTAAAGCATAGTTGGAAAATAAACTTTGACGCGACCTTAAATAAACAATCTCAGTTTACGGAACATTTCTCGCTTATAATTGATTTCAATTGCGATAAAAGAAAATTATGTTTATTGGTTCAACTTTAATTTACGCCATAGCATAGAGGCGTTAATGTTCAAGATTACGAGAAATCAGGTGATCAAGCAGCCACGGGTAGGACAGAACTATATGCGGACTCCGGACCGTGGCTTAAGACCACGGGTGCAACAAGACAACTTAAAATTGCTGTGATTGTTTAAAACAAAAGAATGTAAATGAAATAATGTGTTGACCTTCGAATTATTCAGCCATTCAGAATTTTTTGTATGAAATGTATTCTACCACGGTACGGCTACGGTTATGATTTCGCTTTAGTTTACATTCAGTGTAATTTTAATGCTGAAAATATTCTACGACCTCATACCAGATCGGGCATAAATGAAGGTTAAAAATTGTTGAAAGCATTCCAATTTTGTTACAGAGTAAAGAAGAAAGAATAGTCCGCCAATTCCATTTTACTGCTTGGCCAGATAAAGGAGTGCCGCTGTATGCTTCCTCGTTGGTTCACTTTCATTCTAAAGTGAAAAACACAACATTGCAGGGCAAAGGACCTTTAGTTGTGCATTGCAGGTATCATTGAATGATTTATGGAATGATTGAATGTTTAAATTCAAACCAGTAGATTTACCTGCAAATTCATACAAAGGAGAATCAAAATCATTTCAATATCACTGTTTGTCAGTAATAAAATAGAGAGAACTAAAAGAAAGTTAATTAAAAACTGTGTTCATGTACCACCATAATTTTCTACATGTTTTCTATTTTATAGATTTGTACTAAACTATTTGATAAAAAATAAATGTAGGTAGTGAATGTTCCTTCGCCAAACAGCCAGCATTAGAAGTAAAAGTCACGGGTCTTTTGAAAGGGCCCTTAAAACCCGAGGTCCCGTTCCACGATAGGTATTGGCAGGATAGAGAACTCATACTGCCTAATGGCCCTGAGTGTCGATTATAGGTCTAAATTTGAAGCTCCACGGGATGAAACTGCATATTTCAGTCAACTGAAATGTCTGGAAAGATGACTGAATGGCAGAGCTCTGACATTAAGTCACCTTTCAGTGAACTTTCAGGCACGCTTCGGTTAACTGAATGGCAGAGTATTATCCTGTGCTCTTTACCAGTATATTATGACGTCTTTATATGAGTAAAATATTCTCGAATGGGAATAAAACATTAGACAATTAACATGTCAATCATCCTTCAAGCGACATGCATTTAAGGGCTTATCATACTGGGTTCAATACTTTTTCTTGAGTTTGTTTTTTTTTCTTTAAATTTGTTAAAAAGTTGGTTATATATATGCATATATATAATTAAGTTAAAATTATAACAATTTTTTTTGAATTACAAATATTTTATCATTATTTATCAAATTTGGCCCAATTTTTATAAAGTTCTTTCACAGATAATTAATCACAATTCTACATATTTATTTTTTTTACAGCTCAAGTCAAAATATGTATTTGAGGTGAAATGTTGAAGTCAATCAGTCCAAATAAAATAATGTTCATCAGTGTGCTGTTTTCTAAAAAAAAAAAATTAAAACTTGGCTGTGAATAATTCACATTTTACCGGTTGTTGCAACTTCTTCTGATCCTGGTGCCAGTTCAGTCTTTTACCTTACTTTATATACATGCGGTAGAGATATTTTCTAAATAGATACTTTGGTTCGTATATTTCAAGTTTCTTGCTTTCCTTGTCGTAAACGTATAACATTTCTTTCAGTGCAGGGATAGGTCGAACAGGTACCTTTATAGCGTTAGACTACCTTATACAACAGGCAAAAGAGTCTGAATACGTGGATGTGTTTGGATGTGTGGAGACGTTAAGAAGACAACGTGTTAATATGGTACAAACACTGGTAGGTGTATTTTACAAGCGAAATTTAATCAGTAAATTAATGATTAGGATATGATATTATTCTTACAGCATTTGAATACTATTGGGAGGTTTTCGGAGTATATGAACATAACATGCTGCATATACTACGAATTTCATCTTTAATTTCCATGTTTACATGTATATTAATGAATTATTTCCTTTAGGAACAGTATGTTTTTGTACACAGTGCTTTGTTAGAGGCTTTGATGTGTACATCATCTGATCCCTCTACTGCCGAATTCCCCCAGTTGTACAAAGATCTGATGAACATAGACCATAACAGTGGAAAACGAAATATTGATATACAATTTGAGGTACATTGATACTGTAATGGCGGGAAATAAGTGATGCAAAAACAATTTTCTTGTGGCAAAAAAAAAAATCAATTGAAGAATAAAGCCGGCTTAAAAGAAAGAATATAAAAATATCATTTTGCTAAAACCATAATCACAGTCAGTGCAAAACAAGAGCGTTTGCATACCAAAAGCCATTGCTTTTTCGTTTTGCAATAATTTATTAGGGAATACATGTATATAAATTCGGTAGGAACATTTGTTTTAGAATTCTCAGACAAAATTACTTATATAAACATGTAAGTTATGTAGGAAATATCAATTGTATTGAAAATTTATGTTGTTTTCAGTCGTTGTTGTCCTCTTTAGGAGAAATTCCAGAGTCTGCTTTCAGATTTGCTAAAGAGCCATTAAATAAGAAGAAAAACCGATACAGTAATGTATTGCCAGGTACATGTGGTCACACTCTGGGAGGTTCTTAAACTTCTACTTTGCTTCCTCTGTCTTTTAAACTACAAATCTATTTTGGAGAATATAAAAAAAAATTTAATACTGTATTAAGAATTGGCGATTAATGACAATTAAAAAAAATGCTTAATATCGTTTATAGTTGCACTGTTGTATTTTAATTATATACGCACAAATTATACATATTAATTATACCCCCCGCAAACGAAGTTTAGGGGGGGGTATATTGGAATCACCATGTCCGTCTGTCTGTCCGTCTGTTTGTAGACGAGATTTTGTCCAGAGCGTTTCTCGGAAACTATTGCATAGATTTGTCTGAAAATTTGTACACTTACTATTCACTATATGAAGGTGTGCACCTGGTATTTTCATCATGATTGAATAATTTTTCTGCAGTTTACAGGTGTTTTTTTTCATATTTATTATGTGGTTTTGTCCTGATCTTTTCTCAAAGTCTATTTCATAGAATTGTATGAAAATTTGTACACTCAATATTTACCATATGAAGATGTGCACATGGTATTTTCAACATTATTTGATAATTTTTCTGCATTTTACAGTTTTTTTCATTTTTATTGACTTAGTCATTTTGGGTTTATTTCTAAGGTTTGAGACATAAAATCTGGAACATCTGTACAAAAATGTGACCTACAGCTTAAAACTATTCATTAAAACAACAACAAAAAATCATCAAGTATTAAAAACAATTTTTATATTAGTGATAGTGTAAATCCATTTGTCCCTTGGGAGTAATGAGTGGACATGCATCCAGTTAGAGATAAATTAATGAGTTCAGTGTGGGAAGTTGTTAGGTCGAATCTGATCAAGCAGGTCTTATCTATATCTCCTGGGAATTTAAAGATCTCTGTTCTTTAATTCTCTTAATTGTAATTTATTGTCTGTCATAGTACATAGTTACTGGATGACCAGCCTTTTATTTTTAAAATGACGTTGATATAAAGTTATCAAGATTAATTTGATTTTGTAATTAATTGATTTTTTTTCAACAATCAATTTGCAGAGTGTCATGTCTCAAAATGATGACAGATAGCTGCAATTTATTTTATCAATGTATTAAAAAAACAATGTAATTACAATGTATTTGTATTGATGTTTTATTAGGTTGTTCCTTGGTTTCATTCATTAAAAAATATAATAAGCAATTATTTTTTCACTCTAAATGTTTATAAGAAAATTGTGAACACCTCTTAGATCCATAAAATATTAGTGATTTGGCACTTCTGAAAAACCCAGCGGGGGTATTTGTCCCTTTTGGACAGTTCTAGTTATCATTTGAATCGCAGCTATACACTTGAACAATGTACCATATGTACATATTTTATTTGTAGTTGACAATGAAATGCCGGAGCTAAGAGATGCAGAAAATAAGCGTATATACATTAACGCCGTTTTTCTTCCGGTAATTAGATACTTGTATAGTAGTTTTAATGTATTGTTTCCCAAACCAGATCTTTTAAAATAACTGTAAATAATATACCCGTATGTTCAATTTTTTTGTATGTTTAAGTATTGGTATTTTAGGCCTACAAAACAAGAAGGTCATTCATCGTGACACAAATGCCTCTCAGAGAAACCGTGGACGACTTTTGGAAACTTCTTTCTGATCAAAAAATTTCTACTATTGTAATGCTTAACCAGACTGTACTTTTAGAGGTGAACGACAAGCAGGTAAATATGTTTCTTGTTTTCTCATTCAACTTTATTAAACACTTTATGAACAGTCTATAACCAAACAATAAATTTTGAAAACCAAATCACCTGAAAGACAAGAATAGATTCCTGGGACGATGTCATAAATATCTGAATCACAAATCACTTCTATTGCTCAGAAACAAGGTTTTTAAATCAATTTTCAGAATATCGGAATGTACTGGCCAGAAGGTTCTGAGAGTAAAGAGTACGGGATGGTCGTGGTGTCTAAGGAATGTTCGTCTGTCAACGAAAAGGATTATACTATCATCGATCTTCTTTTCAAGATAAAGGACGACGAGGATGATGAAGTATTTATACTATTTACCATTTTCATTTACTGAAAGATTAAGCACAATGTTTTTTTTTTTTACCAGTTTTACTTTATTTTTGATAGGGAGATGATGAGAAAAAATAGATGAATAATCAAGCATTCTGAGAGTATTGATAAAGCAAGACATGCTCCCTATCGACATTTTCAATAATAATAATCTGAATTTTATCTTCAACAAAACATACATAAATAGATGATTTTATAGAATACTATGAATTTGCAAAATTTGAAAAATTGCAATGCGGTAGCATTATTAAAAAAAGTAAGCACATTAAAGATTGTAGGATAGATTTGCCATCCCAAACAATCTGCTGTCAAATTAACGTATATGACTGAAAAATTGAAGAATCCCTTGATTAACTTTTTTAATCTTTTACTATTATTTTATGCAAACATTTTTAAAATGCTATAAATTCAAGCAACTTTAAAGGAGTTAATAATATCTTTAAAATAAATTTTGGCTATTATGACTAAAATTTACACAGTGTAATATAATTTACAATATACAGTTAAGTACAAACAACCAGCAATTCTCTCCTAAAATTTGGTATCAACTTTTAATGAACAATCAGAAAGCTTACTAAGCAAGCATTCAATCAGTTAAGTGCCATACAAAGTTAGAATTCCTCGAAACTCAAACATCATCGCTTTGCAAGAAGTGCAACATTTTAAAAGTATCTTGATCTTATGTAGATCATCGTCTATTTTATCACTTTATCAAATCACGAAGAAGTGGTGACCAAAAAAAATGAATAAAGAGCTAATACTATTTAAGTTATCTTTGAAAACCCAAAAAAAATATAAACATGAAAATAGATACAAACGTGCATTTTAATATTTATTTGAATAAGAAATTCTACTGCATATTGATTTAATTTGAAACATGCCCTGTACATTTTTAGGAGAGGAGTGTCAGTATTTTCAAATGCAATTTCTGGCCGGATTCCACAACAATTCCGTCATCAATCCTCTCTTTCCTAAAATTGGTAAACGCTGTAGAGCTACATCATGACAGAAACAACACCGGCCCAATCGTTGTCCACTGCATGTAAGGGAGCCTATAATTCTGCTAGAAATGTACAATATAATTTTTAAGAACTATAATCGATTAAAAACTTTGTTTATTTCTTGTTTATTTCTGCTATTAATTGGTAGAATTTGAATCACTATCATCTTTAACGTGTTGCATGGCATATACATGTCTAATAAACCCATTTTGATATCAGTAAAGCGAGTGGTAAAGGTCAGTTCTTTTTTATAATTAAATTAATTAGAGAAAGGAAAGTTGAAATAATTCGACCGTAAAAATAAAACATAGGAAAACGTTTAAGTTTTTGTACTGAATTCTGTTTAGTTACTAGTAGTACATGTATTACTAGGATATACAAAAATTCTATCTTGGTGTAATTTAGTATTTGATAGTGTGTGATTTTAAGCTTATAACAAAATCCTACAACATGCATCCTGAAAGGGAAATGGTGTCTTCTAAGCTTGTAAAATTAAAGGATATCTGTCATGTTACTCCAACTTTAAATTGGAAAAGAATTTATGGATTGTATGTTTTTAACTGATTTCGTATCCATGATCACAACTTTGTCACGCGATTTAGTGCATTTATCTGTAAAAAAGCATAAAGCATCCTCGGATTATTAAGTTAAGTTTGTTAAAATGAAGAGAAACACTACTTTTGAAAGGGAGATAATGCAGAAATAGTGAAAGTACGGTGGGATGTGTTCTTAACCCTCTCAATAACCAGAGTGATATTTCAAAACATAACTTACACGATAGTTACCTTACTGAATGTACATGTAATGTAAAATTTGTTCAGATTTAGGTTCTAAAAGGAAAAAATAAAGGAGGGGGTTCCAAAGTTAAAATAGAAATAAATAGAAGTTTCCAATGAAGTGTGTTTACCTATTTCAAATTATGATCAAGGGGTACTGTAGAACCAAGATAGGGAATCAAATTTCTACATTGGACGTACAGTAAAAATATTCTTTTCAAGCAAAGTAGAATCATGGTTAGTTATATTAATATTCAGGCATATTATGTACATGTACGTGTACATTTGTTCAAATATTGGTCTAAGGTTCTATTATAATAGTGAGTGTACAATATACATGAATGGTAAAATTAAACAAAAAAGAAGAACATATTGAGAGACTTTAAAACCTTCCATCAAGAATAGCTGGATACTGCTTGGTCATCTTCACATGGGGAATCATCATGTAGTGTGAATATAAATTTGTTGAAAAAAATGACCATCATGGACTCGTGTGGGGGCCATGTCAGGACGTCAAAATCTTTAGCTCTACTGGTCAGAAACCAGAATGCTACTCCTCCTGCAGTTTTAGTCTGATTTCAATATAGCTTGGCACACACGAAGGCTACAATTAGATCACCTTAGTCACTCAGGTGACCTATTGCAATCCGTTTTTGTCTGTCGTCGTCCGTCGGTCATAAATTTTTGAACATTTTCAGCTTCTTCTCTGGAACCACTGAACCTATTTTGGCATATAGCATCTATGGGTGAAGGGGAACAAAAATTGTGAATTCATGGCCCCTGTCGCCCTGTGGCTTGAGGGTTGGGACTAAAACCATCAAAATTAATGCAACTTTTAAAAATCTTCTTCTTTACTCGGATCATGAACATCAAAAAGTCAAACTTAATTGGCATGAATGTAATTAGCATTGAGTCCTCTACCAAAATTGTGAAATTCATGGCCCCAGGGTCAGGGGTTCTGGTGCTAGGGTGGGGCTATATAGATTATATAGTGAAAGTGTATTATTTCTTTGAAAATCTTCTCTGTTCCTAGGTATAAAAGTAAACTATGTACATATGTACATAGATATGTTGAAGATGGCTGCCTCTTCCAAACTTTATTATATGTAATGAAAAATGCATTATTTTTTTGAAAATCTTCTTCTCTGTTCCTTGGTATTAAATAAACTATGTACATAGTTATGATGAACAAGAGTGCCTCTATAGAAATTGTGAATTTCATGGCCCCTGGATCGTGGGTTCTGTTGTTAGGGAGGGGATGTATTGATTATTTAGTGAAAATGCATTAATCCTTAAAAAATCTTCTCTTTTCTCTGCTCCTGGGTTTTATTTAAACAAAAGAAGTGCATGGTTATGATAGGCAAAATGTAAAATTCATGACCCCAGGGTCAGGGTTTCTGGTGAAGGGGGGGGGGGCTCTTTTGATTATATAATGAAAATGCATAATTACTTTCAAAACATTTTTTTACTCCTGGTTATAAAGCAAAGAAACAAGTGTACAGTAATGAGGAGCAAGGGTACTTTTACAAAATTTTTAAAACTTATGGTCCCAGGAGTTTTGTTTGTTTGTTTGTTGTTTAACGTACCTCTCGAGAATTTTTCACTCATATGGAGACGCCACCACTTGTCAGTGGAAAGCTGCAAATTTTGACCTGCACTCGGCACTCAGAGCCATTAAGCAGTGAGGGATCTTTTTTGTGCCAGCACCTACTGCAACACGGACTTCTGTTTATACGGTCTCATCCGAAGGAATGGTCTCAACGTCCCACGGTGGGATTCGAACCCACGACGCAAGGATCAACTCCTTACTCCGCGACTGTAGAGCAAATTCTCTCACCAGTGCGACCCCAGGGGTTCTGTGTTTCTCCGAAAAGTAGTGAAAATGTGTGAATTCTTTGAAAATCTTCAATATATTGCATAATTATGATGATGAGTGTATCTTTTCCAAATTTGTAAATTTCATGACCCATGCACAGTCAAGGATTCTGGTGTTAGAGCAGGGCTGTGTTAAATCTGTAGTGAAATTAGATTATCTTCTCTGCTCCAGGGCATAATGGAGGCAAACAGAGTAAAAGTTTTAATACGCAAGAGTATTTTTACCAGAAATTTGAACATCTGGACAATTTAGTCAAGTGTTCTTGTCCTGGCCAGGCTCTATTAATCTGTATTCTACTGAGCAAAGATATTCCTCTTTTCCATTCACCCTTGATAATTAATCACTGTAAATAATGTATCTGAAAGGCTAATAGAATAAGAGAATCGTGCAAGAACATAAATTGTATAATACAAAAAGTGTTTTCATAGTTTTAATGGTCAGGTAGATTGGAAATAATAGATGAATAAAAATGACACAATGTTCTTTAAAGGCCGAAAGAGGTCAATGTGAGATGTAATGATATGGGTTAAAAATAGATATTTTGTTAATAGTCTGCATGGTAATAGTGATAAATGGGGGACAGATAGATACCAGACCAATGTTGTTAATCCTAATCATACTATTTTTCTTGCTTTTGGGCAACAAATCTTCATTTATGAGTTTATGGATCCTCTGAATTGTTGTACTCAGGTGACCGTTAACGCCCTTAGGCCTCTTGTTCTTTTTATTGACTTTTTTGTGAGTGTTGTGAGTGCCATGGTTACTAAAAAGGAAATAATTAATCTGTCAATACGGTACTCCTCCTAAAGTTTTGGTCTAATTTAAATATAACTTGGACACAAGATTTCAAACTCAGATAAATAATTCTGTGTATAAATTTTTGATTTGGAATAATGGTGATGCCATGCATACTAAAAATAGATTTCCTTGAAATGCTTTCAAAAAGGCTGCTCCTCCTACAGTTTTGATCTGATTTAAATATAATTTTGCACACAAGTACACTACAATGAGACATCGAATTCTCGGAAACGGCTCGCTCAATTTTCATGAAACTTTCAGGACTGATAGAACATCAATATCTCAAAAGTATTGAGATTATAAAACAAAAAGAAGCAAAGTTGTTCAAAATGATATGTAGCAGCTAGTGAAATCGTCAAAATAACGTCTCTTCTGGCCAAACAGGAAGTAGTCACAATTGCTACTTTTTACAGATATTGACATGGAATTAAATAATAAATCTCAAAGAGAACGCCAACTGTATTTCCTATCGAGTACCGTCACTTTCCACCGCTTCCGGTTAAACTGGATGAAGCCAGAAATGACTTATTTTTGCAGATATTGAAATAAAATTAGACGATTAACATCACCCAAGACTTTTCTGTCGATTAGCGTCACTTCCACTTTAACGGGAAGGAGACATCTGACGTAAATTAGGGAATCCTTAACCTAGCACCGGAAGAAGCTCACTAGATAAATTTTTTGCGGATATTGACATAAAATTAAATGATTAATTCCATCCAAGACAACCAACCTGATTTTCTGTCGATTAGCGAAATTTCTGGTTAAACTGGAAGTATTCATAAATTGCTTTATATCAGGTATATCAGTGTAGATTTCAGTCATAAAAATATTCGAAAAGCAGATCAACGTCGTTTTTAGCTCACCTGAGCTGAAAGCTCAAATGAGCTTTTCTGATCACCCGTTGTCAGTCGTTCGTCTGTCCGTGTGTAACCTTTTCACATTTTTAACTTCTTCTCAAAAACCAATGTGCCAATTTTAACCAAACTTGGTACAAAGCATCCTTGGGTTAAGGGAAGAAAAAATTGTAAAAATGAAGGGCCAAGTCCCCCTCAAAGGGGAGATAATCAAGAAAAGACAAAAATTGGGTGGGGTCATTAAAAAAAAACTTCTTCTCAAGAATAACTGGGCCAGAAAAGCTGAAACTTATGTGGAAGCATCCTGGGGTACTGTAGATCCTAAATTGTTCAAGCGGAAAGATACTCGTATATTGTGAAGTTTTACAATCTTTGTAGTAGTACATATATGTTCTAATTTTAAACCTGTCACGTGACAAACAGCTGATGCAAGCGATGTCGCTTTGGTCGAACTCAGCAGAGACCCGATATATACCAGTGCAAACACCACAATTTACATTCACCAAAACTAATGCTGTTAAAAAAGTATTAAAATTGTATTCATTTTCTCTGAATATATTAAGGCGTATATTTCATGGGTGTCCTTAACCTAGCTGCGTTATGATGAATGGTCGCTCGCGTGGCGCAGTGGTTAGAGCGTTTGCTCTAGAGTCGCGATTAAGAGGTCAATCCTTACGTCGCGGGTTCGAATCCACTGCGGGACGTGGAGGCCAGTCTTTCGGAGGAGACCGTATAAACAGAAGTCCCTGTTGCAGTAGGTGCTGGCACGAAAAAGATCCCTCACTGCTAAATGGCCCTGAGTGCCGAGTATAGATCAAAATGTGCAGCCTCCACTGGAAAGTGGTGACGACTCCATATGAGTGAAAAATTCTCGAGAGGGACGTTAAATGATGAATGGCTTACCTTCATTAACCGTTCTTACAGACAGTGAAACAAAATCGGACGGAAGACCTACACGTTGCTATGCAACGAGCTTTGCTCTAGTTATTATTATTATCATTATTATTATTATCATTATTTATTTATTTATTTATATTTTTTTTTAAATCAAAGACATACAAAAACCTTTCTATTTGTTTTGACTTTATTAGGAATGGTGCAGAAAAAAGTGGATTATTCTGTGTTATGCAAGTGGTACTGGAGAGAATGAAAATAGAACAAGATGTGGCTATCCATCAGGTGATTCAACAGATGCGCAGTGTGAGACCAAGTATCATCCCGAATGTAGTACGTTGATTAGTTTCCAGTTAACTCATTTCATACTAGATCAATTAAAATCAATCTTTAAAGCAAAAAAGTCTCACTTTTAACTTAATCAAATAGGAAAATTCAATAGCCAATTTAGTCAATATTTAAAAGATATATAACTCAAATGGGCAATGCTTTTGTTGTTCATCTAATAATTGTTCGCTATTTTTTTCTTTCTTTTGAAATCGCAGGAGCAATATCAACCAAATCGGATAAACATATTTTTTTAAGTCTGTTGCTTTCTATAGCGTACTATAGTATACTTTATATTGGAAAAATATCGGGGGATTCCCCCATCCCCCCAGTACATATTCCTACGGCCTTGTCTTTAACTTTAATTATTATCTCCATTATTTTGTTTTCATTCATTATGTTTAAATTCACGGGTAGTATCAATGAAAATATCTGTTTCAAATTTATTCAAATAAATAAATTTCTTTTTTGTCTGTATAGGTTTTTCAAAATACACAATGCTATATCACAAAATAAACATATATAAAATGAACGTAATTTTGTCATTGTTGTATTCATTTTGTGTGAAAAATAGAGAGAGAGAAATAGAGAGAGAAGTGAGTGAAAAAAGAAAAGTAGGTTGTTTCGTCTGTATTTTTAAGTCACCTGAGTTTACTTAGGTGACCTATTGCCATCTGTTTTTGTCCGTCATCGTCCGGCGTGCGTCGGTCATAAACTTTTGAACATTTTCAGCTTCTCCTCTTGAACCGCTGAACCACTTTCAACCAAATTAAGCAAATAGCATCAATGGGTGAAGGGGTACATAAACCATGAATTTCATAGAATTGACCCCTGGGACCTTAGGGGTGGGGCTAAAACCATCAAAATTAGAGCAATCTTTAAAAATCTTCTTTTTTACTCCTGGGCTTTAAGCAGTCAAACTTTTGGTATGACTGTAATAAGCATTAAACCCTTTACCAAAATTGTGAAATTCATGGCCCCACAGTCAGGGGTTCTGGCGCTAGGGTGGGGCTCTGTTGAATATATGGTGAAAATGCATTAATTCTTTAAAAAAATCTACTCTGCTCCTGTGTACTAAATAAACAAACTTAATGCTAGGAAAAGTACCTTTTCCAAAATTGTTCATTTCATCGCCCCTGGGTCATTGGTTCTGGTTTTAGGGCGGGGCTCTTGTGGTTATGTAGTTATAATGCATTAATTCTTTAAAAATCTTCTCCTCTGCTCCTGGATACTTAGCAAACAAACTAAATGCATAGCTATGATGAGGAAGATGCCTCTTCTAAGTCGTGAATTACATCGCCGCTTGGTCAGGAGTTCTAGTGAAGGGCGGAGCTCTAATGATTATGATAAAAATGCATTTATTCTTTAAAAATCTCATCTCGTGCCCCTTGGTGTTAAGTCGATGATGCATGGTAGAGTGTCTCTTCCAAAATTGTGACTGAAAATGAATAAATGCTGTGAAAATCTTCTCATCTGCTCCTTGGTATTAAGCACACAAACACTAAATGCATAGTACCGATGAGCAAGGGTGTATTTCTAAAATTTTGAATTTCATGGAATAGTAAAATTGCATTTAAGCTTCGAAAATGTTCTCCTGTGCTTCTGAGTATTAAGCAAACAAACTAAATGCAATAATATCAAATGTAAATGTATTAGATATAATTATAAGTAATTCTGCCTTTCCCTTGCTCCTGAGTATCCAGGAGGCAAACGGAGTATAAAATTCTATTAAGTGAAGCAAAAGAGTTACTCCCCTTTGCTAAATTGTGTTAATAAAGAAATCCTTGAATGCATAATTAATTAACAGGTTATTTGATTGAATGAGAATACAAGAAAAAATGTTATAATACAGGGTGTTTCAAAAAACATGTCCCGACTTTGCAATTTTATATAAAAAAAAGTTATGCAGCATTTATGAAAGGAAAGTTTGCGGAAAAGTAAAGAACAAAGTTATAGAATTTAATCGATACAAGAGTTTTAAAGAAGATGGATCATTTATATATAATTATTTTAAAGACAGATATTTTTAGAACATGATCACTACAGGTAGATTTTGATCTGACGTCATTTTATAACGTGTTCCAAATGTCCACCGTTTTTTTCCGTCACCAGTTTCATTCTGTGTCTGAAGTTTCTGATAACATTTCTGCAAGAGTCCAAGGATATACATCTAATTTCTCTTCTAATAGCCATTTTCAGAGCTCTTGTATCTTGTGGGGGTGGTGAATAAACAAGATCCTTTAAATATCCCCATAAAAATAATCTAAAGGGTTAAGATCGGGTGAATGTGGTGGGCACTCAATGTTTGAACGAAGGGATATAAACTTCTCTCCAAACCTGTGAGACAGCCAGTCAAGCACAATATTTGCGTAGTGAGGAGTGGCACCATCTTGCTGAAACCATACTTCGTTAATTTCTATTCCTCTTCTCATTAGCTCAGGCAGAAATTTGGTTCTCAGAAGAGTTAGGTAGCGTTGAGATGTTACGTCTGTGGTTTCACCATCCTCTTCGTAGAAAAAAGGGCCTACGATACCGGTAATGCTCCTTGCCGCCCAGACTGTTACCTTTTGGCTATGTAGTGGTCTCTCTTCATAGAAGTCAGGCTTTGAAGTTCCCCCAAAATGCATGTTTTGCTTGTTTACATGTCCATCAAGTGAAAAATGTGCTTCATCTGAATACCATGTTAAAGAAATGTTTTTCAACATCCACCTAGCAAAACAAAGACGGGAGGAAATATCGATATCTTTCAGATGCTGCATTATCGAAATTTTATAAGGTGATAATTCTAAGTCGTATTTCAAAATTCTATAAACTGATGAGGAACTAATGTTTGAATCAAGTTTTCTAAATACTCTTCTCACTGATTTCTGTGGTGTTTCGTAAATGATTGTCTTCACCATTCCGATATTTTCATTTGACCGTCCAGTCCTTGGCCTTATAGGCGTGTCTTTTTTTCTGTCAACAATAGTCCCATACTGATCAAATTTTGACACAATCCAAAAAATCTGTTTTCTATAGAGAAGCTTTTCATCTGGATACTTTTTTTTCAAAATCTTTCTCAAAAGTGTTGATGATTTTCCATTTGCGTAAATCAGTTTAACAATATCAATGTAGAGATCTCTTTTATCTTCATTTTAAATACCTAACTACCTAACTTTTGATGATGTCATCAAAGCTTAAATTAGTAATTAGGACGTCATAATATCATATATTCATATTTTAATACAATTTGCCGTAAAATTTGCTTTCAAATGCAGTTTTTGTTATAAACATATTTTGAGATTTGGCAAAAATATAAATATCCAAAGTTGGGATATATAGATCTCTCTCTCTCCCTCTCTCTCTCTCTCTCTCTCTCTCTATATATATATATATATATATATAAACGAAATAAAAATGAGTGTTTTGTTTAAATGAATTAATGCTTAAAATCGGATTCTTCCCGGGAAAGGAATATAAAAGATTGATAGAAAGATTATTTATATATGTAGCAAAAGTAGAAATTGTACACAGTATGGTTATACAGTGGTGTCCTGTTTGCCAATGGACAAGTTATTTCAGGTAAAGTCATTGCTGACAACAGACTGGATAATGGATAAAATTGTTTTATACTTTATCAAAGTGAACAAATACTGTACAGCAGGAAATTAACTCGCGGAGTCAATATTCTCTATATTCGCGGAAATAAAAATTCCACAAAAATTCCGCGAATACAACATACAGTGAATAATTCTTCAAAAATTGATGGGGATAAATTGAAATATTACCGATATTTGTGATAAGATTCCGTAACTCTATTTGTGTTTCCTTGCGAACATAAAAAGCAGTAATTAATATTACGGAGATGTAGACTGTCTTCCTAATTATGCGGGTGTACGGATCAATCACTAACACGTAGTAGTTGTTGTTGTTGTTGTTTTTTTTTTTTTTTAAAAGCTTAATTGATAAATCAATATCATAAAATAACATTTAATTCTTCCACCCAGTTATGAGTAGAGGTGCGATGTAATTATCTTTAAAACATGTATTGTTAGATTTCACCCGTGCGTATTACTCAGTCTTATTATCTTTAATCAAGGCACTTACGTAATAAAGACAACACTGTTACACATTAATTCAATTTTATTAACAGTTCAACATTTTGATTATCGGTAGTGACAACTGATTTAGATTCAGAGGGATTAAAATGAACTACAGTTAATACATGTACTACTCTGTACTCTACTGAAAACATACCTATGAACGAACACGTGCCAAAGGGCTTCTCTTTTACATGAATGTTTGGGATACGACTTGATATCACTTGAATAAATCACTCGAGTATAGATTCATATGTATATCAAAATAATGAAAGAACAAGAGAAAGAAGGAAGAATATTTATCTGAATGCGTAACATTGTAAATCGTACAACATTTTGTCTTCCACTCAGGATCAGTATGGTGTTTCGTTCTATTTAATCGGGTTCAGAATCGACACAATACGCAAGGAAAATACTTGCAGTGCTGAAAAAGTTTTTGTATAGTTTTTCCTCTCCGCGAATTCAAACGACCGGGCATCTTGTAGTTAGGGCATCTTGTAGTTAGTGACAAGTGGTAAATAGCCACATTGAATATCCAAGTGGCAAGTGGGGGGAACAGGTATTACATGTACCAAGCTTGGAAAAACCAAGAGCACTCCCGAGGAGATCACGCGGGTATCGCACGTTACAATAAGCAAGGGTATTTTTACCAGATTTTTTTCAAATTCTTGGGCAACATAGCTTCATCTATCAGTTAATTTTGTTTTATACTTCTATGGACCTTTACAGTGTTATATTATACTCAGGTTACCGTTAAGGCCCTTGGGCCTCTTGTTTTATTGTAATCTCCACTTAATATCTTTCCATTATATATTTTAGGAACAGTTCAAATTCTGCCATGATGTTGTCATGGAGTTCATGAAGCAGTATGATGCATATTCCAATTTTCAATGACAACAGCAAATAAAAGTTGCATCTGGAGTACTTTTAGATATTTGTTTATTATACAAATGTGAATATTGCATATGAAGGAACATTTTATTCTTTAACGGCTTTTTGTGTAGTTTATGTGGAATCTGCAAATTAATATTTTTAACATTTATCTTATTGTATTTGTAAAGTAAAATTTGATTTTAAAAAATCCTATAAGAAGCCATTGAATCAGGCGATTTATTTTTTTTACTTTTTTCTGATCAAAGACTGTCAGATGTATAATGGATTTTTTTTCGCATCATCAACTTCTGAACTGTTGGGGCACATTTACCGAAAAGTGTCACAAAATACCCTTCATATCCATTTTAAAATTAATTCATTTGATGTGAACTGTTTCTATTCAAAAGGAAATAGATTTAATTTCTTCAAACAATTTATTATATGTTCAAAACAATTGAAGGGATTACAGTAAGGGTTCGATTTTACATGTACCTGCTTTCTATTCTAACTTATAATTGTAGTACTGAACACAATTTTAAAGTATTTAAGATTTAATTCAATGTATTCCAATACAATGTTTATTAAAATTTATTAAAGCCATTATTCTTTGGACTAGGATAGAGATACAATGGGGATTGACAGTTTACAAGATAGAGATATATAGGCAAAATCTAAATGAAATTTTATTCTTTAAAAAACATCTTGACTTATCTATATATAATGGATACCTTCCTAGTTTAGAATAGATTCCTACGTTTGTACAAGTTTTAGATACCCAAATAATATATTTACAGAATTTCATATTGAGTTTTTCAACTTCCCAATCTCTTAATATACCAAAGAGAGGGACATTTTTCCTTTTGGAGAAACATTAATAATGCTCCAGTTCTCACAGCCATACAAAGTTATATGTTTAATGCTGTGATCTTATACATGTATATTTAGAGGGATTAGCTTTCTTTATATCTCTATAAAATTTGAAGCATGCCTTTATGCTTTTTTTGGTACAATTTTGTTTGTTTGTTTGTTTGTTTGTTTGTTGTTTTTTTTTTTGTTTATTTTTTTTTGGGGGGGGGGGTGTTTTGTTTTTGTTTTTTGTTTTGTTTTGTTTTTGTTTGTTTGTTTGGTTTTTTTTTTTTTTTTTTTGCTTCAATAAACTTTTTATTGTTTTCAAGAGTTATCCCCAGATATTTACATTGTTTTACACATTCTATAATATCATTACCAAGATGGAATGAATTGCTGAAAATTGTTACTTTTGGGTTCTTTTTATGTTTACTTCTAGACACAACTCACTACAGTAATCATGGAGGAGATTGAGTTTATGTTGAAGATCTGATTTCGTATTGTATATTAAAACAAGGTTATCTGCATACAGAGGACGAAATCTTTTCTTTATCTAGAGTAACAGGGACAGAATAATCATCCAAAATACTTGGGAGATCATTTATAAAGAGTTTAAATAAACTTGGGCTAAGGACATCACCTTGTCCAACTCCCCATATTTGACACCCCATATCAGAAAAAAAAACAAAATCAGGAGCCCTTAAATTGATGAAACTATTCAAAATCTTTTAAATTCTTTTAATTGTATCAATTTCTGTAAGTATTTGTCTACAATAAATCATATTAGGATTATTTTAAGCATTTAATACATTGATTTTGCTGGAGAATAGACCTTTCTTCCAAAAAACTAGATTAACGAAATCGAATGGCGTCATTTTAAAGACTTTAAAGTGTGTGTTTTATTTTTTGGGGTGTTTTTTGCGAATAGGTAGGTAGGTTTTTGAAAGATGGGTGGACGCTAAACAGAGAAAAAACTTTCACACATAATCTATCATTCTTATACATAGATTTTAAAATTCTGTAAAAATACCCACTGATATCATTTGATTGTAGTTTATACATAATGACAACATGAATAACTTTATCAAATGCCTTTCAAAAATCAACAAAACAGGCATATAATTTCTTATCACCAGTCTTGAGATATTTGTTGATTAGATATTTCAACACAAATATATAAAATATTGATATAATCTTCAGGAGTACTGTTCAACAGTATATATTCGAGAAGTGGTGTAAATCAGATGTGGATACTTAAAAACTCCAAAGAATTTTTGGAAAATTTGAGATCACAATTTTTTTTACTAAAATCAATAGCATCAAAACGTACAACTTTTCAATACTTTATACAACCATTCCCCACGATAAATTGAAGTCCAGGCTTTTTGACATCATAGACATCTGCTCTTCAATAAAAATGGAACTCGTAAATATTCTTACCTTGTAATTGGTCATTTACAAAATTATTTTGTTAAAAAGCACTCTGATTGTACACACAAGTACTCTGAAGTTGATATTAAAAAGATGCTCTAGTTTCTGATTGACAATATCTATGTAGTTTTTGGAGATCAGGTCTTCCAACAATCTGTTGGAATTCCCATGGGTACCAATTGCGCCCCGTTATTAGCAGACCTATTTTTGTATTCATATGAAGCAGAATTTATTCAAAAAATTCTACATGAGAAGAAGACGATACTTGCTGTGGCCTTAAACTCGACATTTCGATATATCGACGACGTACTATCAATTAACACTAGTTACTTTCATTCATATTTCAACTTGATATATCCCAGTGAGCTTGAAATAAAAGATACCACAGATTCTGACACATCTGTTTCATATTTAGATATTGTACTAGAAAAAGACGTTAATGATAACCTAACCTAACAGCTTTATGATAAACGTGATGACTTCAACTTTTCAATCGTCATCTTCCCTTACTTGCGTAGCAATATACCCTTATCACCTGCATATGGGGTATATGTCTCTCAGTTGATTCGATACGCAAGAGCATGCTCTACGTATGAACAATTTCTAAAACGAGGCAAGCTATTGACAAACAAGTTGATGAAACAAAGATATCAACAGTCTCGTTTGAAGTCATCTTTTCGCAAGTTTTTCGGTCGATACAATGACCTTGTCATCACATACAACCTGTCATTGAGTTATTTGCTGACTGACGTTTTATACTGATTGTTAGGCCATTATTTATACACTGAATTGTCTACGGATATTTCCGGTTTAAGTTTCCCGATCATTACAAAGAGCACACGGCGAGTGTGACCGGTTGGCAGGGGATGCCTACTCCTCCATGGCACCTGATCCCACCACTAAATTTTGAGGTTCGTGTTTGCTCTCTCCAAATTTGTATCGTTACATTGGACTTTCGAGATTGAATATTGTTCGTTATCTTCATATTTCATTCAACACAAATATATGATCTGAAGTGCGAGATTTCTTGGAGAAACCTATCTGTGATTTATGAATGATATCATTCTCCAGCAAAAAATTGTCAAGTCTGCTGTTCAATATTAAGTTAAATAATTTTCCAATACTACTTCTAATAGCTATGCCTCTATAAATTTCTGGCTTGTTTGGATCCTCAGATTTGAAAAGAGGTCAAATAAAATTTTCTGACCATTTTGAAGGATACTTTCCAGATGTAAACACAGCAGTAGATAGTTTCATCAAGCAAGGATTAATAAAGTGTTGTGATGCTTTAAGCATTTCATTTGAAATATTGTCTAATCCAGATGTTTTTTCAACTTAAGTTTAGAAAATGCTTCTTGAAATTCTGTGTTTCTAATTTGTTTTTATCTATCATGGAAAAACTGCATTTATAATGTTCCATTACTTTTAGCTATTCCTCTAAAGTATCTATTTTTTTTGTATATTATCTGAAATAAAAGTAAGATCTGAAAAATATTGGAACCAAGTATCACCCTCAATGCAGTTTTGATCACCTCTTTTTTTTCATTCCGCAACTGGTTTCTTTAGGGACCAGTACTCTCCTCTTTTTTTTTTTTCTTAGTTTTGAATATTGTTTATTTAATTTGAAAGAGGAACCTCGCACATTCGGATCTTTAGAGAAATGAGACAGAGTTAATGCTTTATTTTGAAAAAGTTTTTTTTTCATTTTCAATAGGTCTTCATCAGACCATTTTTTTGCATTTTTTACTTCTTCTTTTCTTTAGTGAAGCTATACAAACTTTATCATAAATCATATAAACTTTGTTAGTGGCATTATTTATTCCAAAATTGTCAAAAGAGATCTCTTCATCTAAGAACTGCCTCATTCCTTTTGTGTCGCCCGCGTGGCGCATTAGTTAGAGCGTTTGCTCTAGAGTCGCGAAGTAAGGAGTTGATCCTTACGTCACGGGTTCGAATCCCACTGTGGGACGTGGAGACCAGTCCTTCGGGTGAGACCGTATAAACCGAGGTCCCGTGTCACAGTAGGTGTTGGCACGAAAAAGATCCCTCACTGCTCAATGGCCGTAAGTGCCGAGCATAGGACAAAATTTGTAGCTCTCCACCGGCAAGTGGTGGCGTCTCCATATGAGTGAAAAATTCTGGAGAGGGACGTTAAACAACATACAAACAAAAACAAACAAACAAACATTCCTTTTGTATTACAAGGTGTGCAAAAGTCTCTTTAAAATTTAATGCATTATTTGCATTCCACACATATCTCAAAGGAAAATCATGTAATCGAGAATCATTTTTCATACATTCATTATCAAAACATGCTAAAATCTTAAAAGAGAGTTTACAGTGGCAATCAGAAAAATTTGCTTTAAAATCTGATACACCCATATAAAGAATATCAGGAAATAAACTTTGTGAGCACATAATCAACTACACTACATCCATTAGACTTAAGACAGGTAAAATTGCCTGAACTATCACCAAAGCACCTTCCGTTTAAAATACGTATTTGGTTACTTATGCAAAATTCTAGTAAATCTTTGCCTCTAAGATCAACAACATTATCCTGACTAACTCTCTGTTCAATCGCAACATCAATATTATAGTTATTATTGTTAACTGGAATGTGAAGGATACTCTCTCCTGCTATATAGTCTGCATATAGAATAGCGGGAAAATATTATATAATAGAAACATACTCGGTTGGTATTGTTGTTTATAGTAAAGTGGCCAAATGAAGACCAATGAGGATG